TGAAAAGTGAAGATAAAATATTATAAAACGTAGTCAATTATTGTGAGGTTGAAGAATAGATTGTTCAATAGAAATGGTCGTTTTATAAAATAAAACTTCTTAATGAAATTACTGAGTTTCTGTAGAGATGGAAATATCTTATTTGAAATCATTCATCAGTTAGATGTCATAATTTTGCCTAGACGAAATAGATAAATTTATAAAAAACAACAAAGCAAAAAAATTTCAAACAACTTATATTACATTTGTGGCCACAGTTTAAAGAAATTCCTCCCACTTTTTCCTATCTCTCAACTTAGATAGGGGTCGGATCGATGGTTGAAAAGAAAAAGCTATTTCGTGGTTTCCGTTTTTATTCTACAGCATGAAAGATGCATCTTTTTGCCGATCCCTCTCAATGACAAGCACGGGAAATGCATTTTGAAAGCTCATATATACTTTTATTATAAATTTTTATTTCCTCTGATGCTCTTTTTTCTGTTCCTTCTTATGACCATGTTGGCTACAGTCTAATAAATAATCCAAGTTCGTGACGTGAATTCTCTTAAACGGATTTCGCTTTGAGCTTGTTATAAGTCAAAAGTAGATTTCGATAATGACTAAGCGTATATAGAGTTGCACTCATGTCCCCTGACGCACATCACCAAAAATAGCACTCCTGCATTTATAACATCAATCTTCTTGCTCTATTTATTTCATTTTTCCTTCATCATCATCTTCATTTTCTTTACCATACAAAAAATAGTTTTCATGGTTTTTCCACTTGGTTTTATTATTGATTATATTTACTCCTATACACCACACCACCATGATGTACCTAGTGGATCAATAAAAGGAGGAAATGCTGCACCTGAAAACATAAAAGTTCACCGTCATTCTACCTTGCATATCTACCCTAAAAATCAATGAAAAATTGTGTTCGTAAAAAAGAACCATCTTTCAAAATTATTTATTCTTTGCTTTTAAAAAGTCCTGTAAGTACTTTGAAACATCAACACTATGATTTTTATTTAACCTTTATATTCAATAAAAAAAATTTTTATTGAATCATTTTATCATTTTTTTTTTTTGTTGAAAAGGCCATAACTGGGTCTAATGCTCTGCGGTTGAGATCGCGATTATCGAGATGATTGATTGTAAATCGAATAGTGGGTAGGACAAATTCCCAGGCTCACAGGGATGGCTAATCGATATCACTCGAGTCTGTTATTCATAGTCATAATGGTGCGGACGTCAGTGCTGACGTATCGTGACGCTGTACTACGATAAAGTTTCTCTCACATTACCAACATACTGTTGTTTTCATTATACGCTCCGTATTTGCTTTCCTTTATATCACAGAATGTTTTATTATACATGTACGTTGATATTATTATGACTAGTTGATACTACTGTCTTGTCACGATGAAAATCCAGACGTTATTGAAAATGTTGCTTTCAACAAAAACATTATTGCCATTTATTCAAGTTTAATTTATTGTTTTATATTTAAAAAAGCAATTAACTTATAATAAAGAGAAAAATAAATTTTTTCATTGATGTTTTTACAACTTATTATCACAATGTGTAGTCTTTGTAGAATAGAGATGACGTAAAAATCACTTAAGATGATAAGAAAAAAAAGGAATTGATATTTTTGGCTTTTTTATTTGAGTTAACGAGTTATTGAAAATATTACAAGTATTAGGATATGAAAATGGAAATAATTAAGGAGAATTTGGTGTTAATAGAGTGTAGAGGGAGTAGATAAAAATAAGAATTCTATTTTCATAGTAACCAGTGATAATAACAAATCACATGGAATTAGGATAGTATTTTTGTACAATGTATATCTGTATATTATTCTTACATTTTTTCTTTAATAAAAAAACTATTTTTATTTCACGTAAAATATAATTACATACAAACATTATTGAAAATATTTGTTATTTGAGTATTTAATACTTTAATTGGTTACAAATGAGATTATTTAATGTAAATATTTTCACCATCGATTTCAGTTGTTAATAATTCTTATAACAATGAATAAGAGTAAATTATTTTTTTGTTTTATAAGAAATTTAATTTAACACATAATGATTGTTTATTGAAATAAACTTTCAAGGAAAATTCATTTATCATGAAAATAATATAAAATCCTTGCATCTATAAGGATATTATTTTCTATTTGTATTTTTTATTAAAAATAATTTGTGGTAAATTATTTTTCATTAGTTACCAATTGACTAGTATTCAGACGATGAAAATCCTCTTTGGCGGAAATACAAAGAAACATCAAACAAGTTAAGACACACTAATTTAAGCGTTAAAATCAAGAAAAGGGAGATCTTGAATTTTCTACGTTAGTCTGAGGTAAATCGTATAAGCTTCTTTTCTCAAAGTCATTCATCCCCTGAAGCAATCAGGTTCAAGCGCATCATCATCATCATCGTCGTCGTCGTCGTAGAGTCTATTCCACAGTTGATGGTGTTCAGTTGCCAGGAAGATCGTTATGGTCGATGGCATTTACGGTCGTGTATATAAGCCTGTATCCTTTTACGCCCTCGAGAGAAGAAAAAAATAATGTCGAGGGATCGGAAGTGATTTTTAGCATGTGAATCCCCCTAGGAATAAAGGTTTAATAGCGGTGGTAGACGTAAAATTGCGAGGATGACAACGAGCTGACATAAAAAGATAGTTGGTTACAATATGAGGAAAGTTTTAAACGACTTATCCGTTTTTATTGATAGTATATTAATTCATAATTTTATCGGATACTTTTAACAACCATTCTAGTCCTTTATCATATTTTATTGAATAAATAGATTCAAATTTTTATCAATCAAAACAAATAATATTTTTTAATATTACAATACTTGTATTTAGTTCTCATGATATTATTTTTGAAATATTAAATATATTTTAATTTATTAAAATAACAAAAAATTTTATTTATTTAACAATATTATCAAAAATTAATATTATTTAGTTTCATTCAGACCCAAAATGATTTTTAAAGAAATTAATTATTTATTTAATTAAAACAAATGTTTGGAATAGAAGATTTTAATAAAAACCAGTTTTAAAAAATTGTTTCAAAAATATAAAAAATATATAATGATTAGAAAAATGAATAGACAATCCAGAGGAAGCAAAAATTATTGCACAACTGCATAAATGCAAATTTTTTTTCTGTAAATAATTAAAAGTTACGCCATTTTGATAGTAGATAATGAGATCAACATCACGTCCTAACAATATATAAATAAATAATCACAATGACACCATAACTCTATCATTCAGTTGAAATAATCAGTTTTCTCTATTCATATAATAGTAAAAACTCGTTCAAAGATGTCAGAATAGTATAAAAACATGACTTTCTTCTTTCACAAAAAGTAATTCATTTAATTATACAACACAATCTATTGCAAATTAATATCTGTCTAAAAAACAATAACCAAAATATAGCACACATGTGTCAAAAATTCAATTCATTGAATTGTTTCATATTTGAGGTTAATACTTATAATATATATATTCTGATGATTCGCGGAATTTATGCTATATACACCCACACATTGACAATCGCCATTTCTAACGGCGAAACTTGACGCATATATTCCTGCGCCCCGCTTCACCGCACATATCCGTGTGAGCACTCGTTTGTCTCTGATTGTTGTCAACCGAATGTATTCAGCAATTTGTTGACGATACTATCTTTTGTGAATTCTACATCAGCAGTCTCTTTGCTCTGTATTATTATTATTATTATTGGCATTATTGTTATTATTATTATGAAACTTTTAGATGAAATTAAAACCGAGGTGTTGAGAAAAAATAGCGTGAAATTGTAGATGCTTTCAAGTGTCTAGTGAAAAGTATCCGCGAGATTCCTTGTGGTTATTGAGGTGCAAGAAACTTCAGGACAGTTACTGCCAAGGCAATTTTTTTTACTTAACGACAGTTCATCGACGTTATCGTGAGTGTTTTTCTTCCTTCACCCAATCTCATTGTGCTGCTGAGGATTTTTTTCTGCTCCAAAATTTCCTTGAGAGTTACTTGAATCACCACACCATGTTTAGATATGGCATGTGCACAGTTTGGCCCAGAGGTATGGAAAGAAAAAAATTTATTTCATATCTAATCGAAAAAAAAAAAGTTCGATGACCTGAAAGGTATTATTATAGTCTTTCTTCTTATATTTGATATTGGAGTAAAAAAAAAATGGATACTGAATTTTTTGTGCATTTATCAAGTAATATTCATGACATAAAAATAAGTCAGTCGTAAAATGTAAGTGAATGGTAGGTATGCATTTGATGGAACAACAGTGTGCATTCCGATCGCACGTTGTTGATGAGTCTAAGATAAATTTTTCTAACGCGCACGCCGGCTCTCTGCTGTTTCTCTGTAAGAGCATCATCTTGGTCGATGCTCCTTTCTTCCGCTCGGTTGTTCTATAAGGATGTTGCATGCTTCCTGTGTTTTCTTGTTTCCCTTGGCGACGAGTTTAACAACAAGCAGACGTTCTTGATAGCCGTCGATTTTTCACGGATCGTTTTCTAGAAATAAATATAAAACATTGTGCAATTTGTTATGGCGACTTTTATAAGAAGAGCTCGATTTCCTATTAGACGTAGATTCGGTGAGTTTTTTAACCTCACACAAATCGTCTAGCCATACTCCAATTCTTGCCGTCTTAAAGCGTCCATGTTTTTTATTCATTTAAATAGATCTTCAAAAAACATTGCCATTTTTTTCTTTTAAATTTATCTTTAGATTGATAAAAAATAATCTTTGGTCATTTTCAATGCAGAAATTTTTTTTTCCTTGTGTATAGGAAAGTTTGAAGTATGATAAAAAATTAAGAATTATCATATATTCACATATTTTATAAAAAATGAAAATAAAATTCTGGAAGAATGAATATTTTAATTATTTTTCAAGCTTGTTAAATTATAGTTATATTTTTCTGATTGATTGATCAACTAACTGAAATGAAAAAATTTCTTTTACAGGGAAATCTCCATTCTTTCCGGGACTGGAAGACCAGGGTGGAACCTTGCTGGAGGATCCAACAGGCGGTGGACAACTAGATGGCGTAGGAGTAGGTGTAGGGGTAGGTGTTGGAGTAAATGTAGGTGTTGGCGTTGGAGGAGGCATCACCGCACCCCAGACAGCACCGCTTTCATCACCAAGTCGTAGCAGCCCTCACAGTCAAGGCAGCGAGACAGGCGAGCGGTTCTCCAGGAAAGTCTTCGTCGGCGGTCTGCCACCGGACATTGATGAAGGTTCGTGTGGTTTACGGTTTTCCGCTCCAAATACTGCGTTTCCGATTCCATGGTAGACAGACTCAGCTGAATCGTGACGGAAAGCCCAAGACAAATCTATGATTGTTTTCACAGACGAAATCACTGCGAGTTTCCGGCGCTTCGGACAGCTGGTTGTTGATTGGCCACACAAAGCAGAAAGCAAGTCATACTTTCCCCCCAAAGGTTACGCTTTCCTCCTATTCCAGGTAAATTTTATCACTAAGAAAGTCATTAAACCCTAAAAAAGTATTAAACTGTGATATTAATCCTATCTTTTTTCTTCCAGGACGAAGGCTCAGTTCAACAGCTAATTGACGCTTGCATCCAAGATGACGACAAGCTCTATCTCTGCGTCAGCTCGCCCACGATTAAAGACAAACCTGTTCAAATTCGTCCTTGGCGCTTGAGTGATGCAGACTTTGTGCTTGATGCTTCAATGACTTTAGATCCACGGAAAACAGTGTTTGTAGGTGGAGTACCACGACCTTTAAAAGCTGTTGAATTAGCAATGATTATGGATCGGCTCTACGGTGGGGTTTGTTATGCCGGAATTGACACTGATCCTGAACTCAAATATCCCAAGGGTGCTGGCAGAGTGGCGTTTAGCAATCAGCAGAGTTATATCAGTGCTATCTCAGCACGATTTGTTCAACTGCAACATGGTGATATTGATAAGAGGGTATGTTTATCGATTAAGCTTATATAATGATTATTTTATAAAGTTATCACATTATTATAATATAACATAGGTTGAGGTTAAACCGTACGTATTAGACGATCAAATGTGTGACGAATGTCAAGGCCAGCGTTGTGGTGGAAAGTTTGCGCCCTTCTTTTGTGCAAACGTCACTTGTCTTCAAGTAAGTTTAATTGTATTCACAAAAGTTGTTATTTATCTATATAGTTACATGATAATTATTTAACCAGACAAAAAGTAAGCAACAATTTTAATGAAAATTCCTAATTTGTTAACAGTATTATTGTGAACATTGTTGGGCAACAATTCATTCAAGACCAGGGCGAGAATTCCACAAACCACTGGTGAAAGAGGGTGCAGACAGACCTCGTTCAGTACCCTTTCGCTGGTGATAACCCCAACTGCGTCGTTCCTAATTATCTCGCAGTCCTAGCTAATTAACTATCACTTCTACAAGCCTCTTATACCTTTATCTACTATTACTACTACTACTATTCTACTATTTGATCATCACTATTCTATACTATTACTATTATTGCTACTACTTACTGCTATTCCACACCGTTTTATTACTATTACTACCGTTGGAGCAGAATCGACACCCACCTATAAATTGGTCGCGTCAACTAGGACGAGGCTAAGTTTCGGCGTCGCCTCGGGCTTCCTTCGATCTTCGGCCGTGATTACGAGCAATTTTAAAATCACAAGAAGAGGAATATACATCTGCTAGAGTCTGTCATATGATTATTCTTCTACTGTAACCACTAATCAATTCTTCAGACTTGATATTATCGAGAGGAGTTAACACAAGTTGGATAATAATATGAAGATCGTCACCATGGTTGAAGATTATGTGTTTTTATGTAAGCATGTCAAGATGTGTAGGGATTTAAATAATGAAAACAAAAAATTAAATAACAGGGAAATCAAAAAAATGAAAAAAATAAAAAAAAAGAAGTCGCGTGCCGTACGCGGTTGAATGTTAATGAAAAATTCACGCTTTACTGCTGTGTATTAGACAATTCTATCGCAGTTTCTAGTAATAAGGACTTATAGGCTACGTTACGTAGGCATGAATATTGCGCAGAGTGGCCGTATGTATAGGAAACGGCGAAACGAGAGAAGAATAGGTGGAAGTAATATTGTCGTTCATTGTTTGTTTTTTCTTTGCTTATCAGAACTTGAGAGAAGTTTGACCCACGATGCTGAGAGGATAACCCTAGTCTCGTGAATCATTGAAATAATTCTAGAGTCAATTTAAATACCTTCTACCCACGAGCATTGACAGTGTTATCATTTCCTCTCATCGTCTTGGCTAAGTCTTCTCTTCTGTTGAATTCAGTTTGAATTTTTGCGAAAGCACAGATCTAAGAGAAATCGATTAGAAAAGTATGTCAATACCTGAGAAATAACTAAACTAAGAATTATCATTTGTTACGTTTTTTTTAGCTTTTTATCACTAAACTATTATGAAAGCTAAAAAATTCGTCATTGGATCCTCTTAGTTGCGCATGAGATCCTCAATTTGTAAATACCTAGTATCTATTTCCCTTCTATAAACAATTGATAGGCGCAGTATCAGCGGTCAAGATAAGCACACTTTTTCCCTGACAATTAATTCTCGGTGTAGATAATCAAACGGTGCAATTGCGTATGTAATTGAAATAAATTTCAAGCGTAATCACCCGGCCGGGATTTCACTCACTTCACTGACTAAATAAAAAAATTTCACACAGACACCTTATGCATACACAAACGCGTAAGATAGACATATGATAGGGAACAATAGTCAGGTGCAGTGATACATGAGACAACGTTTGTGAAAGATGATTAACGCATTAAAATAAGGTGGAATTTTTCAACAAACACACTCTTGTATACACATTACATACATATTATTAATAATTATAATAACTATTACCATACATGAAAAAAAAAAATCACGCAATTCATAATATCACATACACGCATACAATACCTTATGAAGGAAAATTAGAGTAAAGGTATAAAAAAGTAATCTCCACAACTATATATATACATATATATATTTATTTTTTTGGTCTCCTTTTTGTATATATGCTCGCCGCCGATAGAAATGGCGGCAATTACATAGGTAACCGCCCTCGTGCACGAGTGAGATTAAAGCCACGCGCAAAAGAAGCCGCGAGAAACAATATCATTTTCTCTCTCTTTCTCTCTCTCTCTCTCTCTCTGATATCGAGCCAAAGTTTTTTGCGCGAGGCTCGCGCTCATAAATAGTCAAGTTCAAGAGTAGTCCTCAATGAATTTTAAATGAAAATAACCACACGTGGAAAATCCATTAAGTATAGGAAAATGAGAGTAAGAGTTGGAGAAGCAAAAAAATAAAATACAAGAGTTTACGCGTCCGACACACGATTTCAAAGCAGTTTCAATCTTCTCTTGTAAGATCTTCTCGATCATATTTGATAATAATAACAAAATTGTGAAGTAAACAATTAAATGAAGCCAATGCCGTAAATAATTACCAACGAGGCGATGATAGAAATAATATATTAGCGTTCGCAATCTAAAAGAAAATTAAATTTATTGTAAAACTAAATTGGGAAAAACTATTAAGAGTTACCAAGTTAAATGAATTTCTTTATAACCAAGACTCTGTTGAGTTTTGTAAAATAAAAAAAATAAGATGAATTGTATAAAACAAAAATAAAATAATTAATTTTTTTGTAATGTCTTAAATAATGAATATTATTAAAAAAAAAAAAAGAAGATTTTAAAAATTTGTATAAATAATTGGAGATAATTCGTTATCATTAATTAATAAATGACAAATTAATGTTACTATACGATTTCGAATGCGAACATCATTAAATTCAAAAAAAAAAAAAAAATATAATAGCAATTTAAAAGAAAAATGAACGCGTGAAATTGTGAGAGATTAACGAGCATTAGTTAGTGCAATTTTACTACAAGTCCTGGCTTCTTGTGTCAGGACGAAATTTTTAGATAATGATTATAGAACAGAAAGAAATCAAGATTAATAAAATACAGATCTCTGTGTTTTATGAATCAATAGAAGAAATCTTGAAAAAAAAAAACCGTTCTCGGATGAATTTATAAATATATTATATATGAATATATATATATATATATTTAAAATTATATATATACATATAATACGAGAAGCATAACGCGATTCATACATTTTAGGCATGAATTTATTGTCTGCGGAAGTGGGTTATAACGCATTTCTTTCTCACACGTTAATCCACAAGAAAAGATATATACGGATTCGTATGTACACGCGCGCACGTTTACACTTTCATACAAAACAAATTGCCTGCATAAATTGGAATTTTATCCGAAATAAAATGCTAGCTAAACACATAACATGTTACCAACATACACATAAAGTACATATACAAATAACAACATAAACATGGACAAATAAATAAACAACACGCGTGCACGTTTTAATAATTTAATTAAACAATCTCATACTTCTCTGGCAATAGATGTGCATAGCTTTACTATCTATCTTGCAAAGTCATCAAATTTTTACGTGTCGTACGTTTTCCGTGGTCCTTTGATAAATAATATTCAATTGTGTGCAATAATTATCTTCGTTACACACGAATTGCGCCAGGCATTTACTCAACTTGCAAATGTTCGTATAACAAGTTGTTGTAAATTTCATTCTACTACATTTATAATCCGATGTATGAAACAATTATATTTTTGTGGTATGTAGTTATATTGAACTAAAAAGAAAAAAAAAACAAACAAAATACGAAAAGAAAAATCGTACATTTGTCGCGCAGTATTGACAATCGTCTGGATGTATTAGTAAATTGGTTGGAATCGAGGCCGCTGCATATAAAAGGTTTACTATTGTTAACGACGACAGGTTTTCAAGTGAGTCGGACTTTTTTATTTTAATTTTTTCGAAAAACAAAAAAAATAAACGATTGCCGCTCGATAACGATTAAATTAATTAGCGTGAAAAGCAGCGTCAACTGAAATAAATAAATAAAAAAACCTTGACAATACAGTCGCTCGTTTGGAGCATACGATCAATGTATATTGACGTGAAATGTGCAGGTAAAAGAATGGTCCAAACGATCGGATGTAAGCACCTTGTTATAGGTAATCATCTATTATACGCATTCGTCGGTAATCTGATCGTTCAAGACACGTGACCATAGTGCAGTATCGGTTCCCTTGATATGGGATACGTGAGATGGTCAGTACGAATATTACAAAATAATAAAAACGTGTGAGCTGAAATAAAACTCGATACACACATGGGCACGTTAGATGACAAGTAAAAGAACGGGATAGTTGATTAAATCGAATAGAAAAGAAATAATAATAAATATATTAGGTGTGATTCTTCACCTCCTTTGTAATATGTGTGATAAAAGCATCATGTATTTATATATATATTTCATCTTTAGCAAAGGAAAGAAAAAGAAATAGAGATATTTATATATATAAATATATTAATAATTATAAATAATATAAATATAAAATACTAATATATAATTGATAATAATAATATTAATATTGATAATTATAATAATTAATAATGATAATGATAATATTAATATTAATTAAAATATTTAATATATTGCTACATACCTTATGAGGGATGTACTTGAAGTTAGGTACTAATTGCACGATACGAAAATCATTACAATATAAAATCACCTAAGACAACAATAATCATAGAAAAAAAAATGTTACTCTTGATATTTGCTGTTTTCATGACGGCAATTTTATTATCAGATCCAAAAGTAACATTGAAGATTCAAAAAATGGATTAATAAACAAAACCGACATTAAATTTCAATTTATCATATTCGAACTATTCGTTCGATCAGTGGATTTATAAATAATAAATATATATATAATTAATAAAACTAATTAATTAATCTATGAGGCATGAGGCGCGAGATGAAGACGCGAGGAAGGAAGAGTAACAATGGTAGTCATTCAATAATAGATTTGTATTTTTCAGTGTTGAAAAATTTTTTATACCGCTGTTATATTCTTGTCTAAATATCTTAGTTTTCAGTGTGACAGAAGAATAATGTATGAGCGAAAATAAATAGGTCAAAATGTATGAGTGGTCATGAGAGAGTATAGAGTACGGGCATCGTCGATACGTTTGAATTATTACGTGTGAATAAAAAAAAAAACGATTATAATAATTAATATAAATAAGAACAATGAATTTTTTAAGTGCTAAAAAAACAAATCAATTTTTCGGTATTAGCCAATTACAATTAATGTTTGTTATAAATTATTCATTACAATTAAATGTATATTCGCCATAACTTAATGAAAAAAAAAAAATTGTATAATGCGCGTGAAAAATTTTTAATCGATTGCCGGGTCGTTAGTATGTCAGATTGAAGTGATAAATTTTTTTTACCTTTTTTAAATATTTCATTGGCTTAATTATATATATATATTAAATGGAAAAACAAATAATAATAATAATATTTTTAATATCAATAGTAATAGTAATAATAACAATGACGACTGTAGTTACTATTATTATTTTTATTGTTTGTTATTATTATTATTATTATTAATTAATTATACTTTATTATGCATACTCAACATTTACAAACATAACACACCTCGTACCTATGTAGAGGACCACTGCTGCTCATCCTCCAATATATAATTGTTTTTTTGTCCGCGAATGTTTAAAATAAATTTTTATTTTTTTACACAGAGTTATTGTAAAATGTAATAATTATAGAAAAATCTTAGTATCTATAAAAAATGAACTCCGGATATTGTTTTTTTGTTAATAATTACATATAAATATATATATTTTTTTTAAATAATAAAGTAAATATCTAACATAATAAGTTCGTGAACCTGAGAAAAATAAACTAAAGCAAATATCTAATTCATGAGAATAAAAAAAAAAAAAAATCTTGTGAAAGAAAAAGGCATTACCCAAAAATGATTTGTTAATTTTTTAAAATCATTTCTGCGGTTTTCTCAGATGAACGACGAGTAAACACGAGTTTCCGGTCGTTTTCATTCCCGGAAGTTTGCGGTGATTTTTTAAAAAACCACACAATTATTATTACTTATACAGCTATTTTTTATTATCGAACATAACTATAATTATTACTATTAATAATTAATATTATTACACTTATTATTATTTTTTTTTATTATCATCATCACCATCCATCGTTAATAGGTAGAATCGTTATTATATGATATATATCGTAGAGATCTCCACATACCAAAGATACATACAACACACACTTACACCAACACAACACATTAGCACGCACACAAAAAAACACTGACACAAGATGAGCAAATTTTTCCCGCCCGTCAATGCAATACATACACTTTTTTCTTTTTCTTTTTTTATTTCATTAATTAATACTATTGAATACAATACCGAAGAACATTTTGCTATTTAATTCGGCCAATTAATTAATTAATTAATAACTAATTATATAAATATCATCATCTTTTAACTCATATCGTGCGAGTGCCGTTTTTTAGTCTAGTTAATGAAAAAAAAAAATGCCTAAATTTTTTGAAGGTATTTTTTTGCGATTCATGACCTGACCGCATGCGCACTAGATGTAAATTATGATTTAAGTTATAGTAAAGAGAGGTAAAAAAATAAATAAATTAGAAAAAAAAGAGATAAAGTGGAGAAGCAGAAACTTATCGTGAATGCGTCAAGTATCGCGTCCCGTCTTTTAGGAAATAGGGATTTAATAGAGGTAAGACTTCGTTCGAAGCAGCTGGGAGTAGTGCAATGTTTTAATGGACTGGGTTTGAAGTGTGAGGAAGGAAGTGTTCACGAACAACAAGGCATTCGTATTGAAAAGAGAAAAGTAACGTTTGAAAATTTACGAGGTAAACCGCGTGCAAGACGTGGGAAAAGTTTCTAATTGAAGTTATCCTTTAGTAACATCACTAGTCAAACTCGTTAAGGTGATTAAAAGCATGCTTGTTACCTTAAAACGACGAAAAAGAAACTAAATAGACATCATTACATCTCGAATGGTCTTTCGTTTCGTGAGACTTCACCTCCACTTTGTTTCCTTCATGAGTTTGTTAGTATGATAAAAGAAATGAAGAAGAGAAGAAGGATAAGAAGGGAAAGCAAACGGGAAACCGGTTCGACATGATTCCATGAACTTATTTCATGGGTATGAATGTAAAGAGAAAGATTAAATAAATGATTATAAGATTAAATTAATGCTGAAAATTTTCGTATGTGTATAATACGTTTTAGAGTACCAATTATAACTACGTGTGTTTTCTAGTGAATGAGATGAGATTTTTGATTGTCTAGTAAAATTGATAAGTTGGTTTTATTATTTTTATTCTTTCCTTATATTAATTTGTAAGTTTTTCATGTAACGCGCACGCGATCACACTATTGAAAAAAAAACACATATACAACAATTTTTACTAAACATTTATATATATATATCACCTATTCAATCGATGAATAGAAAGTGCAAAATATCAAAAACACGCGCGCGCGTGTTTTTCTTTTTTACCATTTCAATTAAGAGAATAAATACATAAAAATACTAAAAAATTATTTTCTGCAAGTTATTATATGTAATACTTTTTCTGCTTCGTAAAGTATACTAGCGAGTCGAGAAAGTGAAATAATAAAAGTGAGACTACGCTAGAATAAAGAGTTTTGTAATTTTAAATAAAAATTATGTCTTGTATATGTGTGGCGCGATGTAATGATGGTTCGAACCTGATTTCCCGATTATTCCTAGTGGTATATAATGTTGTATCGATATGAATAGGATAATTAAATGATGAGAATTTGAAAAAATATTAATATTAAAATATTAAAAGTAAAAAAAAAAAAAAAATTAATACACGCGGACTGCTCGATAATGTTATGCGTAATTTGTAATACGCAATATGATGTAGTCACGTGTTACTAGCCAATTTGCTCCTACAGTCTTTTGTACCGTTCTTTTTTCTAAATAATCGATTAGTGTTAAAGAGATGAAAAATAAAAAAAAAATTATAAGTAATGTGTATTATTCTACATAAACGAAAAAATACGCTTAGAGAAAATTTTTTACACCTACACTAACACGCGCGTTACACACACGTTCGTAGTTGGATTTTTCGATTGTATTTGTCGTCGTTGGCTTGATCAATAAATTAATGAAATTCAATATTCTTAATATATTTAAAAAAAAAAAAAAAATGATCGCCACGACCAAAACGTTATGTATAGATGTGTTTTTCTTCTCAGTTTAAATTTTTGAATAATTTTTTGACATGTAAAATAATTATACTGAGGTATAGTAGACGTTCGATGAGGTCTCGCTAAAGTTTTAAATAGATTAGAATTTTTTAAAAATATAAATCGCGCATCGGAGAGGTAACAAAGAAAAAAATTAAGTCATGCAGATCAATATAAAAATAAATCTTTTCTACATACTTTTAAGCGTTTTCACTTTTGTCCCTGCGTTTTACCCTAGCTAGGCATTCTAGTGTAATAAATTTTTTGGTAATGACGTTATTATATAAATTTTTGTAAAACGGGAACTTGTTTCGTGTTCATTGTGGTTATAAGAATGAGTGTGCGTGCGGAGGGGCAGAATAAATAAGGTAGGATTGAAGCAAACAAAAATAAATAAAAAGGATGTGACAGTGATACTCGAGCATTAGGCGTCGCGACTTCTCATTTTAACATATATAAAATGGTGAATAAAAAAATAATAAGTGAGAGTTTAAAGTACAAGCGAGTACACAAGAGGTGAAAATTTTTTACCTTTTTCTAGAAACAAACGATAAACAAAAATAATTAATATTAAATTAAATAATAATGAAAAAAAAAAAATTTGTCAATCGTGCATAAAAAAAATTGTTCGTAGTTAATTTTTCAAACATGTCAAAAAAAAAAAAATAATTTTTTGATGTAAAGAGGATAAAAAATAAAAAATAACGAGCGAGCAAGAATGTAATAAAAGAGAGTGAGTGTGCGGAAAATTTGGCTTATGTCTTCGGCTTTTCTATTGCCCCTCGCGCGGCTTCGTCGATAAAAAAAATTTGTAAATTAAAATTAAATAATACGGGAAAAATACAGCTGGTACTGCATTCAAAAAAATGCATTGAACCAGCTTTAGGTGAATATTAGATAATAATAATCTTATAGCTGAACGTACAGTATTACCCGTGTACTGGAATGTCAGATGTTTGTTTGTATTTTTCATTTTTTTATAAACAATCTATACAAATAATTAATTAATTATTATATTATTTTCTTTGTTTTATTTCCACAAGACTACTCGTCATAGCTGTCCTCAAGTACGGCATATACGATGTAAAACAACCTAAAAAAAAGTTACATTAATTCGTTGTTAAAACATAAATAATGATTTTATCAAAAAATTAAAAAAAAAAATGAAAAGATGGAGTTATATAAAAAAAAAATTGATGCTGTACCGACCCGACGCATTTCTCATTAAATTTTTGCGTGATATATATATATATATATAATTGTCATTGATTATTATGATAATATTATATTAGTACGATGGAAATGAAGAGACACGAGCGTCTTTAAAGACCGATCACACGCTGCGACTCGTGAGGTACCTCATAACACACGCAAAAAAACAACTTAAATAAAAAATATTACAACACATATTTCGATATATGATATTAGGAGAAATAAAAAGCGCATTAGGGCATTCTTAATAATATATCTCCACCGCATTTTGGTATACCAGCGTATATAGCTGAGAAAAAGCAAAATAAAATTTCGATATTAACAAAAATTTGCTCGTTTCTCAGCCTCCCATACACACTCATAATATTTTATGAAATTTACCAACATAATATTATATATCAAATACATATAAAGATAGCAATATTACCGTGGTTTACAGTGATCTTTTTCTAAATGTAGTTTATTAAGCATGCAGTAAGTTTCGCTTTTTGTACCATCTAAGAGTTGCGGGTATTGTGTCTGATCGAATAACGATGAGTCTTCAATTTTATCATGTGTCCATTTCGTATCGTTTATACTTGTGGAATCGATGTGATAAGATTTACGTCAAGATGAATGATCATTTCATCATCGTGACTGTCAGACACGTCGATATACGATTTTTTCTATTTACTGTGATTGGCTCCTCACGAGCCACGCTGTATCAAAAAAAAAAAAAAATACATAAAATAACAAAAAAAAACCACTCTACGAAACTAAAATGATAAAAAAAAAAAAATTAATGAAGAAAACGGCTTAGATGAGGAAGCGAACATCATGACATTTTTTTTATACAAAATACAATCAAGATAATGATCTTGATTTTGTCGCTTGCTCATCTCATAGCGGTTTTTTTCTTAAATTGTGCTGAGTATATTCTACAGAGCCACCGCACCAGGCCAATCAATTTCATTGAGAGAGTCGGGTCATGTAATAGCGAATATAGTCATAATTGATAATCGTAGCTTAATTAACAAAAATTATATACATAGAATTTATTTTTTTGGTCGCAAATATTGTTATTAATAAATGAGGTAAATTAGAATTGTGTGTACGAGTGTAATAATAATAATGTGTGAATAACTATTGTGTTGTGTGTATGATAATCAATGTGTGTGGTATGTGCATGCAAAAATGTGTGTTCTAAAAAAAAAAGCAGAGATAGAGTGCGAGAGTGCAACCTAATAGCCAGAATGATGATGATGTCAATCACGATGCAATTATATTATTGTAATGATGTATAGTAAATTCGTGATTTAGTGGAATGAAATAGTACTGATAAAAACAAAAAGATAAATCTGGAAATAGGTGTATGTTGAAGAGAGTGTGATCGAATTGAGCACCTTGTCATACACTTGTATATTATATTTTAATGGTATAAAACGATCTAGCGTACATCTTAGCGCGCATAAGATGTTTATAAATAAATATAGTTCAATTGTAAACGCGCAGTGATGTAATAGAATTCCATTGTTAATGAAATTAGTATCCTCCCTCAGTTACCAGGCTTACAGTCATCCTATTTTGCATGGTTCCAAGTCCACCTATGATGATGATGATGATGAGTAATGTTGCATTATGACCTATAATACGACGAGAATAAAAGGTTGAGAGATAAGTAAATATGTAAAGAATATAAAAGTGAAAAATTGTAATTACAACTCATCTGTAAAAGATCCTTGTCTCTTGTGGCTTTTGCAATACAACCGTCCGGTCTTGTCGTATACGAAATACGAGTGATATCAAACAGCAGAGTCAAGAGAAATGAATTGAAAAAAAAAACTAGAGATTTGGAATCGTGCGGTGGCTGTATTGTGGCATTAGTAAAATTAAGACAGTTAAAAGTCAAAAGCAGGATAGAAAAGCAAAAAGTGATGGAAAAAAAAGTGAAAAGTAGCAAAAATATAATGAAAAACACCACATGAAGAAGTTTCTGCTTCCTCATTTCCGCTCAATTGGAGTATCAACCTGTCATCCGTGTAGGGGTGTATATTTTTGTGTATCTAGATCCAAGCACGGTGATGGTACCGTGTGAGTCAGCGAACGAATTTTAGGCTGTGAAACATTCGAGTCTGTAATACGCTGGATGATAGGATTATTTGACTAGTGATGATGATCTTAATGCTAATAGTAATTTATATATACAATGTACACCACCATATGTATGAGTATATATATTTTATGAAATAATATTCATCTAGAAAGTCACGGTAAATAAAAATAAAAAGGGCATGTAGAGAATAAATAAAGAAAAAAAAATAACGCCGCGTGGACCTGGTAATAATAATTTACATTACGTTGATGTAAATTCACGTGTCAAGTATATAAAATATATGATAGCGTTTTTGTTTAATTTTAAAACGCGTCTTGTATAAGAGAAAAAACAAAAATATGGAAAAATACTAATAATAGTAGGGTTGTACTTTCGTGCTCGTTTTTCAATCACTATTATAATTACCTAAAAGTAATTTATACTATGTAACTATTACTATTTTTATGAATTTTTGTACATTTTTCTAATTATTTTGTATAATAATCCTTAGCGGAAAGAATGAAAAGTCAAAGACACCTCCTCCCCTATGTGTTCCAGCGGAAGTCGACGATGGGAATTAGAGAAATGCCGAAAACGAGTGAAAGATTTATAACTATGAGTATGATATAATGCACGCGCATTGTCAGTCAAAAGCAAGCAAAAACGAGAGAATGGAAGAAAGTCACTTTTAATGCGAAGGAATATCTACGAGTATCGATTGCAATACGGTGTACACTGTCTGTCTATCGGTCGTCCGTCTGCCTAAAGAAATATCTGCCCGCTAGTCTATTTGTCTGCTCGTGCTCTGTTATATATTTATTATGTATATAAATTATATTATATATATATATAATTGGGCAAAATTATTTGTTTATGAATTCAAATAAAAATAACCTACTATGTAGTGTTACTTTTTTGAGTGATATATAAATAATCATTTTTATGTTTTTTATAATTAATAAACTGAAATATTCTTCATAAAACAATTTAAATTTTAACAAGAAAATAAGAAATTACAAATGATGATGTACGCTAGGCAAAACAATGGAATTAAAATAAGGGCGTTTTATTGGGATGATGATGTGACAGTCGATTTTAACAAATACTAAAAAAAAAAAAGAACAAAAATTTAACAAAAAATTTTAAAAAAATCATGTAAACTGACAAGTAATAGTGTAAGTAAGAGTGCGATTATATGATACGAATGATTTCATGATTTGCAATGTCGCGATGCGCGAGCGTTAAGTGTGCGTGAACCTCCTTCGTAATTGAGACATGTTTGTTATAATTATAAGAGTCACTTTTTTCCTTTTTCTTGAAATGAAATGCTATAAAATAGATCGATTCTTTCATGGAAAAAATTTGTGAATTTTGTCTGACAATTTTTCTAATATTGTCGCGATAACATACAACAAAAAAATCTAAAAAAAACCTTTCTTATTATATTTAAAATCCTTTTTACAAGTCCTAAATCCTAGCTCACATATACATACTCCCGTCCAATTTGTTAAATTTATAGTTGTAATCAATTTATTAATTATTTAGCGAAGAAATCTTTTATATAACATTGTAAAGAAAAATTCACTAGATACAAGGACACATCTAAGCGTGCTAATATCTTTTTTCTTATATATTATTATTATTATTATTATTATTATTATGATTATGATTATTCTTCTATTCTTACTATTTGGTATTTAAGTGTAATTTAAAAAATTTTTGTTAATTTCATTTCCCTTTTAGTATTTTAATAAATGAGTTTGTTATGATTATTATTTATTATTTTACAGATCATTTATTATTTAAAACAATATCTCACAATTCACATAACACTCGTGATTTATTTTTAACAACTCAAATGGTATATTCTTACGCAACGTACTACCTTTACGTATGAAACAAAAAGCTAAATAGTAGGTCAAAGAGTACCTTGACGCTTTTATTTATGAAAACCTTTATTCAACGTCAGTTAAAAACACTCCATTATTCTCGCAACATTTCTGGAGGTCAAAATAGCAGAAAGATTCTTGTGATGTCTATCAATGTTTCACGCGTTTGATTTCACAGATATTACATAGTTCCGTATTGAAGAGAGCAGCAACATCATCATCATCATCATCATCATCGACTGTTGGTGGATGTGTCTTTCATCAGTTGGAGTAATGCGGAGGCGTCATATACGCATTGTTCTGGTCTTGATGCTGAATCTTTCTTGACTTTCTCGCCATTCACGTTGAAGCTTAACGAGGTCATTAGATCAAGGTCTTGCGACATTTATTCCACTCAAGAAGCGTCTTTATACCTTCTACTTGGTTTGTAATTATCAGTAACAGTGATTTCAATAAGCTAAAGGTGTGCCAATCTCGTGACTGGCTGCGTGAACTCCCTTGCCTTCGTACCAGCTTAACAACATGTCCAAATGTCAAAGCCATCGATCGACATTATCGTATGCTTCTTATGTACAAAAGATTTTTTTCTTATTGGAAGACATCAGTTTCACATATAGCCATATCCGTATTTTGCAACCATCAGCTTCAACCTATGACTCTTCACTTTTCTGACCTCTTCTCGACTCTGGATATTGGAGTGGGAATGACACTCGACAAGTCTGTTGGTGTCAAGCACACCTTTGTGAACTTACACCAATAGTTGGAGAACTTGCAAATCATTCATGATATAGTGATTACCTTATGTGGAATCATATCCCAGCATTAAATTAAGTAATAAACACGTCAGGAATAATGTGATAGATACATTTATGCTTTGAGAGAAGATGTGAATTTATGAGCAATAAAGTGTGATTAATATTTGCGAAATTTCTATGGCATATGCTCAATATAATAATAAATTTTTCTTGAAATCAAGTAATAATACAATTTATATCTTTACCATTTACATCATTGCTATATATTTTCTTTTTTGAAATTATCGACCCGTTGAAGAAAGATTTCATTCCACAAAAGTTCCCTCAATGTTCCTCAGTGAGGAAGTTCCCCGATGTTTCGCTTGTAGAACTATGAGGAACATTTGGGGAAGAATTTTTTTTTTTTTTTGAATTTTTCCTTTTAACTCCAAACGTACTATTAATGCTATTTACTTGCAAAAAAATATAAATAGTGAAATTCATGAAATAATGATATATTGGCGAAAAGCAGTAAGAAATGAAAATGTGCATAACTTCTATGCTAATTATGCTAGAGGGTTGATTGAGGACTCATATAAAAGATCTTGACGAGAAGAAAAAAGTCCATATAGTTTAAATCATAATTGTCGCGAAATTCATGCTAAAATTAGAGCAAGTTCCCGTTTTACCCCATTTTAGGCGTGAAAAAATTAATTTTTTATATGTTTGATCGGATTCCGCATTTCTACACATTAAGACAAAGAGAATGAGTGGTCGATCATCAAAATCGGACAACTTTGATTTTTCGACCCAAAAAAATGGCAAGTGGTACCCCTTTCCATTTTTTTTGGCCAAAAAATAAAAGTACTTCGATTTTCAAGTTTGACCACTCATTCTCTTCGTCTCAATGCCTAGAAATGCGGAATCGGGGCACCGCCTAAAAAAATTCACTTTAACACCCTCAAAACGGGGTAAAACTGGATACACATTAAAAATCATCATCCCCTTGACTTTAAACCCCTATAACTCATGAACGGAGGGTCCAATAACCATTTTTAGGGACGTTTCAGAAAGATTAATATCTGAGCTATCTGACGATATTCATAGATTTATTGGAAAAAATTTCTTTCACCATTAAAATCGCTAAAATATAAAAAAAAATCACATTTTTTTGGGAGTTTGCCAAGTATTTTGGCAATTTTAAGGTTGAAATAAATGTCTTCAACGATTTTTATGGGTATGTATTTTTAGCTAAGTTTCTGAAGTTTCTAAATACATCCTTAAAAATCGTCATTAAGCCATTTGTTCAGAAGTTATAAAGGTCCAAAGTCAAAGAATAGATGATTTTTTGGCCTTACGTCGACTTTGGATCGCCATAACTTCCGGAAAAATCATCCGATGATAATTTTTAAAAGGTATTTTGAAACTTCAGAATCTGAGCTAAAAATACATACCCATAAAAATCGTTGAAGACATTTATTTCAACCTTAAAATTGCCAAAATACTTGGCAAACTCCCAAAAAAATGTGATTTTTTTTTATATTTTAGCGATTTTAATGGTGAAAGAAATTTTTTCCAATAAATCTATGAATATCGTCAGATAGCTCAGATATTAATCTTTCTGAAACGTCCCTAAAAATGGTTATTGGACCCTCCGTTCATGAGTTATAGGGGTTTAAAGTCAAGGGGATGATGATTTTTAATGTGTATCCAGTTTTACCCCGTTTTGAGGGTGTTAAAGTGAATTTTTTTAGGCGGTGCCCCGATTCCGCATTTCTAGGCATTGAGACGAAGAGAATGAGTGGTCAAACTTGAAAATCGAAGTACTTTTATTTTTTGGCCAAAAAAAATGGAAAGGGGTACCACTTGCCATTTTTTTGGGTCGAAAAATCAAAGTTGTCCGATTTTGATGATCGACCACTCATTCTCTTTGTCTTAATGTGTAGAAATGCGGAATCCGATCAAACATATAAAAAATTATTTTTTCACGCCTAAAATGGGGTAAAACGGGAACTTGCTCTAATTTTAGCATGAATTTCGCGACAATTATGATTTAAACTATATGGACTTTTTTCTTCTCGTCAAGATCTTTTATATGAGTCCTCAATCAACCCTCTAGCATAATTAGCATAGAAGTTATGCACATTTTCATTTCTTACTGCTTTTCGCCAATATATCATTATTTCATGAATTTCACTATTTATATTTTTTTGCAAGTAAATAGCATTAATAGTACGTTTGGAGTTAAAAGGAAAAATTCAAAAAAAAAAAAATTTCTTCCCCAAATGTTCCTCATAATCCTACGACGAAAATGTTTTTTATCATTTTTTAAATGTAATATTGTTATCATGACTTTATTACCATGTTAACGAACATTCTGTCATTTTTTTTTCCTAATCTGAACTGTAATTAAATAAATTCTACATATTCAATTTTTTCCATTATTTAGCTGTTTGAAAATTCAAATTCATTGACGAGAGAAACTTGTAATAAATAATATGTAGAAAATCCTTTAATTTAATTGGTAGATTAAGAATAAACTCATTCTGAAGGATTATAATATCATGCGATAAAAATTTTCTACTTTCATCACTAAAAGTAATAAGAAACCTTTTTTTTCTGAACTTTTCAACAATAAAGAGAATTAATAATGAGTAAGATTAAAAAAATAATTGCCCTGAGTTCTGATCTCTTGCCCAAGACAATTACTGGAAATTTTAACATTTCAACTTTGTTTTACATCAAATGAAAGGTTACATTTAATAATTACACTATTTATACTTTTAAAGTAAGAAAGTAATCCCTTCCATAAAAAATTTCTCTTATGTATTGAGAATGGTTTTACATAACTTTTTTACCAAGTATCAAATGATCAAAAATTACAAAGTCAGAACTTACATATTTAAATTTCTATCTCAATAAAATAAATAAAACCAATCTATTACAATTTTTACATTGAATTTGATAAAGCCATTTAATTAAGAACGATTCAAACAATTTATTCCAAGGCCACTTGTTTCTTTTTACATCTCTAAATTAGTCACTGCGGGTTAAGATTCCAGCATCATATAATCGAAAGATTCAATCAATTTATTTAAATGCAGTAATTTCTGTTGATTGATTAAAAATAACGTGAGGTCTAAGAAAAATAAAAATACTTTACCTAGATACAATATTCAAATTAATAATCATAAAAAAATTAATCGTATCCTTGGTCTTGCTATATGATTTATTTAATTCACGCCCCTGAAGCACGTGAGCAATAGCATCTTATATGATTTCATAACAATAAATTACCCGAGACGCCACTCAACGTTCACCTCGTGCTACTCTTCACTACGAGAAATTACATACTTACACCTATGAGGTTGTTTACTTGTAAATATAGTAACGCATTACGCAGTCATCGATGTCAAAGGTCCAAAGTGATTCAATCAAATGAAATTTAGCTTCATTAAATAAAAAAATAATTAACAAATTTGGGACAAAAAAAAACTAATTGATAGATTTCTCCTGATATTAAATACTACTCTAACTTATAAAATCAAAAGACAGACTTATTATGGAGCTGTTAAGAAATATTTGACTCTTTCCAAGCGCTAAGATCTATACTTTCTCCTTGATATGTCCAGCATTCAGCCATTTCATTCCTAATTGAAACAATCAAAAAATCCTCATTAGTTAGAATCATAAAATTTAAATATAAAAATAATTTAATTCAATTGACCAATTAACTCACAAAAACGGATCCTTTAATAAGAAAGCTTTCGGTTGAACCCTCTTCAATCTATCTCCATTGTCACATAAAATCTTTGCCATCTTGGCCTTGCGAATTTCTTCCAGTTGCCGAGGCGTGAAAGATCCTGGAGTCTTAGCGTTCTCGTACCAATAACGATCACCTGGGATCATTATTAACCCTCTTAGTAGAAGAATTGTTAGAGATAAATGGGATTTATTCATCAATAATTATACCTAGACGAGCATTTTTAAAGGTGAGACCTAGCAGACAAAGGAAGGTCGGACCCATCACTGAACCTTCAACAGCAGCTTCCGAAAGTGCACCCGTTACAAGGTCTATATCATTGACATTCCTGTAGAATATCGTCAGAAAAATTATTTGTTGATAATAGATGATGATTAGAGAATGCTTTCTTACATAGAAATGCTATAGATTAATTAGTAATTACTTGTACACGCGTTCAAGTTTATCGATGAAATCTCGACTCATTGTACTCTCAAGATCACGGAATGTTGTAACTTCAGGAAGATCGCAGAACAATCTCCACTTAGTATACGATGGAAGTCCGTGGTCTCGTCCTTGTTGAATAGCCTGTGCAGCATAGTCTATTGCTACTTCGTTGGTTTTACCATCGTGGAAATACCTTCCTAATAGAACTTCATTCAAGCCTGAGGGCTTCCTTGAATGTCCAACTGGAAAAAATTATGAAAGTTATTAAAGAGAGATTTATTTCTGGAATTAAAATAACTTACTGAGTTTCCAGAAATTATGCAGATTATATAAATGATAGAAATAATATAGTGAGTGATTGTTTATTATTAATTATTGTAAAGATTTTGAAAATATTAACTTTAATTAAATTTTACTATTATAGAAAACCAGTTGTGAACTTCATTCAGAATATTTTTTAATAGATTACTTTTCATAGAAACAATTATTTGCTTCTGAAAATTGTTCAAAGTAAGTATAAGGAAAAAACTATGCAGTAACTATCATATTAAAACCTGGCCTACTTTAGAAAACATATTATAAACATTCTGTGCCAGGTATTATTTTTCTATAAAAATTTTAAAAATATTTCTGTATTCAATTTTTTTAGCTTTCTTATTTCAATTTTTGATCAAATTTTTCTTCATATTTAATTAAAAAACAACAAAATTATGATTAATTATCTACCTTTTTTGTAACTAATTTAAAACTTTTCCCTAAAAAATATTATTTTTCAATTTCAAAGATTTTCTACTTCTTTTACTGACTATGATAGCTGAGTGCCAAATAATGAAATAAAAGTTCTTTCAAACTTAGCATTAAAAGATTGGAAAAATAAACAACCATTTGTTTGCATTTCTTTAAAAAAAAAAGGCTCAGTAGAACTAGTGATTCGAGGCAAAAAAAAATAACTAGATCGTTTTCTTGACAACTAATTAATTGGATGAAATTACCAGTAGCACCAGTAATGAGGCGATCAATAGCTCCAGCTTCGTAAAGTTCTTGAGGTGCATAGAATGCAGATAGCAAGGATCGTTCTCCCGATTTGGTGGCTGAATGAGAGTCAATGAGGTCAAAGGTCTTTGGTGTGAGAGCAGCAAAGAAGAATAGTCCCGCTGAGGCAGCAGCATTTGACAAAGTGGGATCGATTCTCGAGTCGTAAGAAGTGGAGTAACCCGGTTTCACCAATCGCAGATAATATCTTCAAATTAACGACAACAATAAGATTTAAATGCTAAAGTTAATTTGATTGATCATAGCTATCTATTTACCTCTCAAGGTTGCTCTCACCAAACACTGCCGGCAGGAATTCATTGTAAGTAATATGTTGCATTTCACCAATTACAATTCTCCGTGACTCTTGGTATAATTTCTCATCATCCCAGTGCGGATTCAGCTCACTCAATTGTTTAGCAACCCTATTATGCTCACGTAGAAATAGAACATGAAGTAAAGCAATACCCGGATTTTCATTTATTCTTGGATCACCACTCAAGAAGCAAGGAAGAGCTTTATTATCACTTCGACAACTATTGAAATTTTTTGAAGGTATTGGCAAATTTTTTCCTTGAGTACTAAGTAGACCATTTTTACCAGCACGTAAGCTTTTTGCTACTTCTTCAGAGCTACCATAAATGGTCGATAAATCTAAGAATGATGTTGCTTGATTGATCTGTTGTCTAGGGCCTAACCGACAACTCTGAAAAATTAATTTGTCTTGTATTATAATAGAAAAAAAAATCCACGTTGTTCAATTGGTGTTACATAGTCTATTTAAAAATGAATAAGACTAATTAATTACATGAGAGTTGTATAAGAGTGCTATTCTTACTTGATGATTACTTCCTGGATGTGGGACTGATCTAGTATACTCCATACAACCAATGACATTCTCCGCTTGAATGGGGAAACACTCTGGATGAAAACTTTCATAGTCAACATCACAACATTTTAAACGTCTACCACCAAGTAACTCCATTCTAGGGGTGTGAGCAAGATCATTAGCAACAAACTGACCGAATAATGAAGTCATTGCCATTAAAAATGGATGTTTTAAGTCATTAACACCAGAAAAAACATTCACTGAAATTTCACGAGCACTTGGTAAATTAACACGTGGTAGTGATACACCATCATTATATTCAGGAGGTAAAAGTCTAGTATATGCTTCTAAACTCGCACCCCAAGTTGGATGCAATGCATTGTTACACTTTCCAGAATGAGTTCGATATTTTGTATTAACTCTCTTACACTCTGAAATAGTTCGACCGAGAATTTTACTATTGTCAGGACAAAAACTAATTCCCAAAGCCATTGTAGGTAGGAATTTAATAGCTTCATTTGGAGACATATGTAGAGACTCTACCATCATGAGTGCCATGGTTTCACTTTTGAGTGCTTGTCTAGATAAATTTTTCGCAGCTTCAGTCATCTCATGAGAGGCTCCTAAATACCAGGCTGGCGATCCTTTACTCAACTGCGTACCAGCATCTAGAATTGTTCTTTCTGCTTGGTCATATTTTTCCATTGCATTGTTTGCACGTTTGTCCAGATCCTGCATCATTCTCAATGGTAGAGTCGTGCCTCTCACAGAGCTCATAAAGATAATTAACCACCTGGAAATATTGTAGATGGAATATAAATAAGATTTAGCGAAAGAATTATTTATAGTTTATGGATCATGAAGTATTGAATAAGAAATAAATAAAATTCACTGTTTATTATTATGGAAAACATTACGAAAAATGTTTTAATTAGTAATGGGTTGTATCAACCTTTAAAGTTTATCAGAATTAATCAAAAAACATTTAAACTATTGTAATAGAGTGGTTTAATTATCTATGCAGTCTTAGATACTTTTAATTGAAGATTTATTCTAATAAAGTGATTGATTTCTTTAGTTTTATAAATATTTTACTGTTTTTAGAAAATGGAACAGTTTAACATCAACTGCAATAAACGTTTTATTACTTTAAAAAAAAAAGAGAAAAAAAGAATACAAGAGAGAAAGAAATTGAAAGAAAAAAAAGATTTATTAGCAACAAGTTGTCCATATGTTGGGTTTTTCATGAGCATTAATAGATGACTGAAAAAAACTTCTTGTACAATCAATAGATATCGATTTCTCTCATTTAACGACAAGTTCCAGTTGTCCTAAAAGATGCTTAAAACGACATTAGCAGCGGTGGCGCTTGACATTTAGCATTCTTCCTGGTTTCCTCGTGACTCTTATGCAAGTCCCTTATACTCCCACGATCATCAATGACGACAGATGTACAGATCAATTTACTAGATGATTAAGCGTCTTTAACTTCGACATGGACAAATCAAGTGAAAAAAGAACATAAAATTATATAAAGCTTGTATATCAGCCGTCAAACATCAATCTAATAGTTGAATGGTTTTTTTCTCACAAAAATAGAGAGAAAAATGTGTACGTATGTATGAAAGTGTGAAAGATTTCCATGTCGGATTCTCATTGATGATTATCAATAGAAGCATGATATGTCTAACAGGATGTGTTGTAAGGTAAATAAAATTTCTACAACTAATAATTGTTTTTAACGTACTCACCATAATGTAAACACAATCATCATGAACAAATTTCTTCATCAAAAAGGGAATAATTGATTGCTAATTCCGTCTTTATGATGCTTAGAATGACGAAGTAAAGGTATTTTCTTATCAATAAAAATGTAAACGTCACGCGTGTTAATCACTGAAAGAATAGCGTATGAATTTAAATAAATTCCGTGCCTGCAACGACTCCAGGCTGAACGAGTAGTGCGAGAACGTGTGGCTGCAAGTCTTCAGGGGAACGAAAGTACAAGGTAGCTCTCCTGGATTCGAACGTTCATCTAGGAGTGGGGTCTTCTTAGGATCTCTATCGTATCCAGTCCGTCGTGCCAGGTACATCAACATAAATACAAAATTATTTTAATACAAAAATCCACCCAAAAATTAGCTAAGCTAATAGACATAGGCTACATATGACTCAATGGGAGTTTCAGTAAATATTGATATGAATCATAAGATGGTGAGTAAAAAACATAAAGAAGTCTACGATTTCTACGCATCAGCTTTTACACTTTTATGAAACCCCTATAATTCATCGTTTGTTGGCTTATTTTTGCATAATGTCTTAAGCAAGCGTTCGAATACCATAACGTTATGCTAATTGACGTGAATGGTTTGATGAATATAAAATGAATTGTACATATGTGAATGCAATTCTGGAAATTTTGCACGCGAGAATCTCCACAAAACGAAAGGGAAGATGACAGATCGCGTGACTTAGTTCACTGGATACATTCAAAGTCCTATGACATTTGGTCACGAGTGATGATGGCAAGGCCATCTTCAATTCAATTCCCTGGTTCATGGCTCAAGTTGAAAGCATGAATTATATTCAAGTCTAATGATTCAAAAGCTTCTTATACTTTCATATAGTTTCATCATTCGAACGAAATTTATTTGTAAACACTTAATATAACAATATTTTTCTTAGCATATGCGACATCAGTTTGGAGATTTTATTATTGTGTTACGTAAAAGATGTGATGCAAAATTTACAGAAATACCAATAATTTAATTTAAAAGATACGTAAAATTATTTTATTTGATTTTTCAATTGTGTAGAAATGAATGCCTATGATGATTAATTAACATAAATCCTAAGTATGAGTATCGTCTGTGTTATCAAGAACAGCTCCACTGTATGCTAAATCCCAGTATTGTTCTACTTGATGCTTTTTGAAGTGTTCTCTGGCCATTTTTTCAATTGGACAAACTTTGAACTTTATTTCTCCAAAGTGCCGTTGTGTCGTACTGCCCTCCCACACAACAACACATTTATTAGGTACATCATTGCCATCATTGTCTTTCACTATATCTTCCTCCCACTTAATTCGATTCATCATCAATCGACGATATTTTTTCAACTGCTTTGCACCACCCTCTACTACAACCACATTACAGTCTCGGAATAACATTACACAGCCAGTTAAATATAATTGTTTAGCATTGGCCTCAACTTTGAATTTCTTCGATGCATTGTTTAGCAAATCACGTATTCTGTAAAAAAAGACGAGGTTATTTTTTAATTAATAATAGATTAAAAAAATTTATTTGATATTGAAATCAAAAGTTGAGCAAGAAAATCTAAATGACAAATAGATTCAAAATAGTTGTATCCTAATGCTCTCAGTTCCTTTCATCTATTAAACAAGCAACAATAGATTTGACATGAATATTTGAACAAATGAAATTTGAATATCTACCACGCTATAATTAATATTTAACAATGTAATATAAAAACTATAATTGATTCATTGATACGTAACTTTTTCGGAAATGGTAAGTTTAAAAAATACGCATTTGAAAAACAAATAAAATATTTAAAAAATGATTGCTTCGAAATTCACTTTGTATAAGTCTACATAAGATCAAGATTTAAAAGAATTTTTTAATTAAAGTTAAATCACTTGAAACTGGCTATTCAAATGGATGACTCACCTGTAAACTGTTACATAAACTCCCAGCGATGTATCCTCTTTAAGTTTCCGAGCTTTCTTTTCTCGACGTTGGTCAGCAGTTAATCTACGGGCTGCATTTGCATCTTCGTGCGCCTTTAATCTCTTTGCCATTTGTTGTCGAACATGAGCTTCAATTTTCGTAGGATCTTGAACTGCTTCTGTTCCCAATACTCTCATCAAATTTGATATCCTTAGTTTAGGCTCTGGAGGAGGCTCTAATCCTAATCGAATTTTCTCTTGTTCTTCTTTCCAAGCCTCTCGGCGATTTTGTCTCCGCAACTTTTTACGTTCTTTTTTAGTCAAGAATACCGGCATATACACAGGCTTAAGAGATTCAGCTGAAAAAAGAAAACATTGATTACTCTGACATAAAAGGAAAAATCAATCATTGTAAAATAAATCATAACTGAGGTGTATAAACGTACTTGGTGGTTTTACTTGTATTGGATGCTCTACTAAATTGGTAATTGTTGTCACTTTAATCTGAACTTGCTCATCTCTAGTTGGATATCCACTGGACATAATAACAGAGTCCCACCACTCAACATTTGGAACGTCCTCAATAAGTGCTTCTGTTTTAGGTGCAATCAATGCTAATTTTGTTGCTGAACTAATTCCCGTTTTTCTTGCTATTTGACTGATCTCATTTTGTAACTTTTCTAGTTGTGCTTTCATTCGTATCCTATCAGCTAATTGTTGGAATTTTCCAGGTTCATGAAATTTTAATGCTCTTTTACCACGAGTGGGAATTTTTACACCTATTCTCGTATCAAAGAAATGCGTATCTTGAATTTCTTCAGGACCTTTAGACTCCTGAAGCTGAGCTTTAAATTCTTCTCTTTTTTTTGCTCTTATATTAGCTTTCAATGTTGGCACAACATGAGTAAGCTGAACTTCTTTACCAGTTATATCAACAGTTCTTCCTGATTCATCAAGAATCAAAGGAGTAGGTTTATCTGGTATATTCAGATTATTTAATAGACCTGAATTAAATTTACTTTTTATTTGCGCTTGTAAAGCAGCTATCTTTCTAGCTCTATCAGAATCAGTTTTACTCAATAAACCTTGCGTGTACATGCTACTAACTAGAGGTAATGGATCACGAGCTTTGAAAGAAGGTTTTATAGATACATCATCTTGTTTGATCGCTTTCAACGCTCTTTTTCTCTCCTCTATTTCTCTTTGAGCATTAGCCATCATTTGCTTTATCTATAATACAATTACTATTATTATTATCATCATTTTTAAAATGTTAAAAATATAACAAGACTAATTAATCTTACCTTTTCAGGAGAAAGTGTTGTTTCTGGAAGCTTGTCATTCTTAGAATCATTTTCTTTAATTTTTGCTTTCTTTGAATCCTTATCTTTATCCTTGTCCTCATCATGAGACCTTTTTTTAGCTTTTTGTGCAGCTCTAGCATCATCGTAAATGTTGAACATCTTTTCTGTTAATTTCATAGCTTTTTTCTCGTCCAAAAGAGCCGATAATTTATCTGAAATTTACATTACATTATTGAGAATGTATTTTGCTTACGAATTATTATTTGAACAAGCTATTTAAAATTGATATACAAACCTGCAGTTTTACGTTTATCATAGCCAGAAACAATACAATTTACAGCAGTTGTTACAATAGCAGGTTCTCCAAATCCGAGAAATTTATGCACAGCCTTCTCAATCTCCGGCTTCATTTCATCAATTTCTTTTCGTGTTAAATATGACATTTTTATTTATTATTAATTAATTAATTGTCAATACAAAACTAAGGTTAGAAAAGTTCTCAATACGTGACATTCAATTCACTACTGCTTATACATCACTCAGCATTATGGACATAACCTAAGTAACATCACTAATCCTAATATATCTATGTAAATGTGAGATGAAATTAAAAAATTATTAAATGTGATTGATAAATTGAATTATTGACTTAATTTTATAAAACAAGATCTCAATAATTGTTATTTATAATGCCTCACTCAATTTCAGTGCTTGGCAGCCATCTGATGATATATCAGAGAAGCTAGTGTTTCTACGAAGATAAAAAAGTTTTCTTGATTTTCAACTGTATTTAATCTGTCAGTGGTGGTGCAAGTAGATGATTCATCATTGACAAACTTTCATTTCTTCGTGTACAGTAGTCAAAAAATCACAATATTGAATAATTAATTAATTCAAATACCATTAGATTTTTAAAATTATACGTAAAAAAGTCAGCTAACCCCAAAAATGTTGTGAATTTAATCAATAGTGAGTGCTAAGTGCTGCTCTCTTTCCTTCCAATTGAAAGGTTATATTAGACAAGGGCAATTTTCACTCCAAAAATGGATGTATTAAATAAACTTCGAAATACTGTGAGCAATACAATCAGTAACACAGTTAATAGTACTGCTTATGGATTATCTCAGTTATCTAATGTTTTACCTGGCAATGCTGTTACGAGAGAGTTTGAAATAACAGCTCATATAGCCAGTGCAGGTCCTGGACTTCTTTGGAAAGTTTATAGTGGATATAAAAAATCCACTAAACAATCTGCTGCAATATTTGTTTTTGAAAAAAGATTGCTTGATAGGTGGTCGAATAAATCTGAAAGAGAAGCTGTTTTGGAAGCATTAAAAAGAGGTGTAACTCAGCTCACTAAACTACGACATCCACAAATATTAACAGTTCAACATCCCCTTGAAGAATCACGAGACAGTCTTGCATTTGCTACAGAACCAGTGTTTTCCAGTTTGGCTAATGTTCTTGGCAACCTTGAAAACGTTCCTCAACCTATTCCAAAAATTTTGAAAGACTATAAGTTGCTTGATGTGGAGATTAGATATGGCTTACTCCAACTTGGAGAAGGGCTTGAGTTTCTTCATAATGATGTCAAGCTTTTACATAGAAATATTTGCCCCGAGTCTATTATCATTAACAAGAATGGAGCTTGGAAAATATGTGGTTTTGATTTCTGTGCTTTGAATCAAAATCCACACGATAAAGAGGTAAACAATCTTTTTTTAAGTCTATTGATGTTCATACAGGTTTGGAAAGAAAAACTTGTTTGTGTATATTTTTCTAAGAATATATAACATAAAAATAGAATAAAAGATTAATTTAATTTCTTTTCATCTCAAAATATTGTAATATGTCAAACATACTTCATTTTACGAAGAAAAAAAAATTAGATTCAAGCTGAAATTGGATTAGCTGTTGTTGATCTTATCAGACCATTAAATGTCTTGGAATTGTCATGTTCAAGCATTCATCTGTATGAAGGACATTAATAGAGTCAGATAGGTCACGGAACTTATTAACTGTCTACATTATTATGGTGGTAGGTAGTTGCAAAGAATACCTGAATGTTAATATGTTGCAATAGAATGGTATTTGCTAACACACTCAGATCTATCATTAGATTATTACGAGTAGTAGCATAAAACGTTATTAAAAAAAGTTTATCGTGAATTTATTTCTAATAGCTTATTCCATTCAAGCTCTTTTCATACTGAATAAAATAAATGAGATATAATTACAAAAACCGTAAGAAATCTTTAATTTATAATAATTATAAAGCTCTACAAACCTGTATGATATCATCAATCTTAAATCAATGCAAAATAAACAGTCATTTCAATGATATTTTTTTTAATAACAGCCATCCTGGTCATACACAGAGTATGACCCAAGTATTCCATCAGTAGGCCAACCTCACCTTGATTATCAAGCACCAGAATGTATTGTAGCGGGAAGTTGTAATCCTTCAAGTGATATATTTTCATTAGGAATGCTTAGTTACGTTCTCTACTCACCGGGGAATCGTCCTATCCACGAAAGTCATGGAGATGCATCTAAATGTCGTCGGTTTTTAACTGACTTTAAATCATCAATGCTTACTTCAAAACTTAATCCAATTCCAGAAGGATTTCGTGACACTGTTAAATTGATGTTAAGCAACAATCCGGAATTAAGGCCTGATGCTTCTCAATTTATAAAAATAGAATACTTTATGGACATTGGTGTCAAGACTTTGAATTATTTAGATAAATTATTCCAATGGGATAATTTGCAGAAATCTCAATTTTATAAAGGATTACCTAAAGTTATGATGCAGTTACCTCATCGAGTGGTACTTCATCGAGTTCTCCCATGTCTCTACAAAGAATTTGTCAATGCTCCAATGATTCCATTTGTCCTACCAAGTATTTTACAAGTTGTAGAAGCATGCACTGTGGAAGAATTTTCAGAAAATATTTTGCCAAATTTAAAACCAGTTCTTGCAATGGAAGAACCACCACAAATAAGTCTTGTATTAATGCAACGTATTGACTTACTTCTGAAATTATGCTCAGCTGATGTCATAAAAACAGATATTGTGCCAATGCTTACTAGGGCATTAGATTCACGTATGGAACAACTTCAAGAACTTTGTCTTGCTGCATTGCCATCGATCGCTATGCTAATAGAGAGTCCAATCATGAAAAATGCTATTCTTCCAAGGATAAAAAAAATTTGCCTTAAAGGTCCAGGAAATACAAGTAGTCTCAGTGTACGTGTTAATTGTCTTCTCTGTCTAGCTAAGATGCTGGAACATCTAGATCGGTGGCTAGTACTTGATCAAATCTTACCTCTTCTCCAAGAAATTCCTCATGCTGGCGAACCGGCCATTTTAATGGCTATCATTGGTATTAAATTTTTTTATCATTATAAGGTTTTAAAATTACTTTTCATTAATTTATTATTATTTTTCAGGAATTTATAAAATGGTATTAACCCATAGTAAATTAGGAATCAGTAAAGAAATACTAGCAACAAAAGTATTACCATTTTTATTGCCTTTGTGCATTGAACAAAACTTGAGTCCATCTCAGTTTGAAACCTTAGCTTCTTTAGTAAATCATATGGTAAACCGAGTAACATCAGAACATCGAGAAGCCTTACGACAGCTTGATGCAGTTCGCCGTGAAGCACAGCAACTTGACGATGCGTTGAAAGAAACAACAAACTCGTCAGCGGTTGATGTTCTAAATGATGTCTTTCCAAGGAATGATTCATCGTCTTCTTTAGCATGTACGCCAGTCAGAGACAGCAAAGGATTAACATTAGAAGAAAAACATCGGTATAAATTCTATTTAAATTAATTTAAATCATGTTTTTTTATTTAAAAAAAAAACGAATACTAAATTGATTGAAAATGTTTCAGGCTAGCACAACAGCAAGAAACAAGTCATCGTTTGCAAAAGCAACCTATGTTGACTCCAAAAGCTGTGCCGACACCGAAAAAAATAGAACCTACTGATCTAACCAACACTTTGTTGGAAAATAATTTAAGTCAGTTAAATTTATCGGCAACTAAAGCCACTCCCAATTATTCCAACTTAACATGGAATACTAATGTAAATCAAAGTCAGTGGAAAAATGTTAATTCGTCGTCACCAATGTCATTAACAAAATCACCATCGAATACCGCGATGAATTGGAATACAAATGGAATAAATTCACCAATCAATTGTGTACCTCAAATGACTTCACCGATCAATCAAATGCCTAATTGGAACAATACAAAACCGTTAAATGTAATGAATCAAAATAATGGAGGAACTTTTGGGATGGGCAATTTAAATGCTACACTGATGCCAATGAATTTAGATTCATCGATGAATAATCAACAGAAAAAACCTGCTAGTCTGTCTACTCAAGACATCATTGATTTTCTTAGCTAATAAAAAACAGCATTAATTTTTATTGTTTACTTGAATTTATTTTAAGCGATCAACATACTGTCTACGATCATCATTAATCTCGAAAAATTATATTTCAATAATTATTCACTATCAATCTATTTTAATGCAATCACTAAATTTGTACATAGATGATAAAAAGAACGTTATAAAAATTAATAAATATTTATAAAAGATAGTTATATTTTTCTGTTGACAAATGATGTATTTATAAGATAAGAATCGTTGCTTTTATCGATTGAGTTTAACAGCACAACTTTTGCTATACTCCACACGGTGCCAATACTATCTGTCACGATCGTATCAGTGGTTATCCACGGGTAGTTTATATTTGGAAGTACTTGACACTGACAGAAACAAAAATAATTATCGTAAAAGTCAGTACTGAGTGAAACAAGTGTGTTTGTCATTTGCATGACTTGAAATTTAATTCAATGTAACTTTCAAATTTATGCCTACATTTTGTAAAGGTTAAACATTGTGACTGAACTATTTCAAGTACTAGAGATTATTTTGCTACTTCTATTTAATAACCGATAAGCATCTCTGCTTATTTCTCCTTACAAGTAAATAAGTTATCAATTGTGATAAAATTCTTTTATATAACTTCAAAGCAGGTAAATCAAATGATACAAGTAACTTAAATTTTTTTTTATAATTATTTATTTATAATTACAATAATTGAATTTAAATATTTTATAGATTAGTTTTTGAAATATTCATAAACATGGCAAGAACTGGAGCTATGAAATTAGCAAGACTTCGTGAACTCATGGCAGCTGTTCAAGTTGGCAAGGAAAAAGGAATTCAGGCGTTAATTGTTGGTTCTGAGGACGCTCATCTATCAGAATACATAACAGATCGGGATAAACGACGTCATTATATTTCCGGATTCCAAGGATCACTTGGTACAGCAATAATTACTGCTGAACATGCTCTACTTTGGACAGACGGAAGGTATTATGCTCAAGCTGAGGCTGAATTTGATCCACCTGATGCTTGGACATTGATGAAAGAGGGAACTATCGGTACACCTACTCAAGAAGAATGGTTAATATCCAATCTTCCGCCGAAATCTACTGTTGGTGCTGACCCTAACTTGATGAGTTACGCTGTTTGGATACCACTTCAAAATGCACTTAATGCTGCCGGACATTATTTAATGCCACTTTATGAGAATTTAATTGATAAACTTTGGGGAGATGAACAACCACCAGAAGTTTTGAATCCTATCGTTCCTCAATTAATTAAATACACAGGAAAAACAGCAGGTGAAAAATTAACACAGTGTCGAAAAGCAATGAGAAAAAATCGAGCCGGTGCTCTTGTGATTACTACCTTAGATGAAGTTGCGTATCTATTAAATTTACGTGGATCTGATATACCTTATAATCCGGTATTTTTCGCATACGTAGTAATTACACTTACGGAATTTCATATATTTGTAAACAAATCTCGACTTACCGCTGAGGCGGAACAGCAACTTATTGATGAAGGTGTTGATGCCATATATCATCCGTATGAAGACGTGAGATCATTTTTGAAACAACTTACACTCAGTAATTTATTTAACTCTGGCAATGAAAAAGAAATTGAACGTATTTGGATTCATAGCAATACGAGTTATGCTTTGCATACCGAATGCAATGACATTCAAAGACATATTTCTATAACTCCAGTGAGATTAATGCAAGTTATAAAGAACGATGTTGAAATAGAGAATATGAAGAAAGCACATACAAGAGACTCAGCTGCGCTCGTTAAATATTTTGCTTGGCTTGAAGATAAAGTCAAAAGTAAATGTAATCCTCCCATCACAGAAATATCTGGTGCCGATCAGTTAGAGAAGTTTAGAAGGTATAAAATATTTTGATTTATTATCGATATTTTTCAACAGCCTCATTATACTTCCATAGTTGATTTCTAATTACTTTAAATGATTTCAGAGAGCAAGAAAACTTTATCGGTTTAAGTTTCCCAACAATTTCATCAGTTGGACCTCATGGTGCTATAATTCATTATCTGCCTTCACCCAAAACTGATGTACCCATTACAGACCAAGAGATTTATCTTTGTGACTCAGGAGCACAATATTATGATGGAACTACTGATGTTACTCGAACATTTCATTTTGGTACTCCAACAAACTTCCAACGAGAAGCATTTACTCGTGTGTTCAAAGGACAAACTGCCATTGCCACTGCCAAATTTCCAACGTTGATAAAAGGAAATTATTTAGACGTGTTAGCAAGAAAGAGTTTATGGGATGTTGGGTAAGAGTAATAACAATAAAATTTCAATTGTCAACTAAAATTTGTCGTAAAGAAGTCAATAAAATATATCATTTTCCCTCAGACTTCATTACCTTCATGGCACTGGACATGGAGTTGGCAATTACTTGAACGTTCATGAGTTTCCTACTGCGATTTCATGGCGCCCTTATCCAGATGACCCAGGTTTACAACCGGGAGCATTTTTATCTAACGGTAAAGAGTGACATTTATTATTTAAAATATCTATAGACATCACATGATCAACATTTGTTATAGACTTTGATTATAATCCTCCCGTGTAAGGATATTCTAGGCTAACAAGTTGTTGTAAATTTTCATAAAATCCATGAGTTGAAGAGAATGAAATCTAATGAAATTCAAAAAGTTAAGACAACTTATGACATTAATATTTATATAAATCATCTTTTTAATCAGAATCTCTTATATATATTCAATCGAGTTGAAATAGAAATAAAATAAAACAAGTTGTGTATCAAGTAATTAATACTTTGTGATAATTTTAATATTTTAAATAGGACATATTAAACTTTGATTTATAAACGACAAGAATTGCTAGTGATATAATAACAGTACTCGAAGCATATTATAACATTGAGCTTAATTATAGAGTATAAAGATTTTATTTTTTATAGTATTAATATTTTTTTAGGTAAAGTTTTATTTATAAAGTAGTCTTATATCTAGAAGACTTCTAATGTAACTTGATTTTTTGAGGTTTGAATTTGTTGCCTGATATTTTTAGTTGTCGATATATTTAAAAACCGATAATTAAAATATTGAAGGTCGCATTTAACTTATAATGAGCTTCAATTTTTGAATATTGTTCATTAACAGAAATCGATCTATCATAACTTCATTAAAATTGAGTAATTTATGCTGTAATAAATAGTAGGCTTTCATGTTGACGATTGATTACAGTTCATTATTCATTTCATAGGTTTATTGAATCATCGCAGATACAGTTGAGATGATAATTTTTTACTTTCAGCAGCTTACGATGCTTCTTAAAAAATTAAAAAGTATTCGGTGATTCGTACTAATCTTAAATATAGATTATTTAATATCTTTTTTTGATGATTAAATTTCTTTACTCCCTTCTAGAAGGTAAATGTAATTTCCTCTAAAATATTTAATATAATGTTCCATAAATGAATTGAAGTGGAAATGAAAGATGAATTGTAAGTGACAAACTTTATTTCATTTCCATTTCTTCATTATAAACGAGAAATCTTTTTTACGTAACACATCCACACGATTTATCGTTGCCATGTGATTTTTTAATAATCCTTTTATATTTTAATGATTTCCTCCTAATTATATTTTTTAATGGTTTGAAAATGAAATAAAAATTATTTTTTTGCATTTCAATCTTTATCATGTGTCAGAAAACAAGTCGTATGAATCATCATCGATAAAAAAAAATTTAATTTGTTACAGAACCTGGATTTTATGAGGATGGAAGTTTTGGAATACGTTTAGAAAACATTCAATTTGTCGTTAAAGCTGAAACCCCATACAATCACAGAGATATAGGATTCCTAGCATTCGAGACTGTTACTTTTGTACCGATTCAAACAGCTCTCTTAGACATTAACTTGTTAACTGATCAAGAGGTAAGGTTTCATGAAAAATAACGGAAAATTGAGACCACCCATAGTATAATATTTTGATAGTTTTTTGATGTCTTTCGTTTTGTTTATAGATTGAATACTTAAATACTTATCACGCCAAGTGTTTAGAAGTACTTCGACCTCTCCTCCAAGGAGAAGAAAATGCTCAAGCTCTGAAATGGTTGGAAAAAGAGACTCAACCAATCACGAGATAGTAAGACACAACAGGGTAAATAAACATTTAAAATTTATTTCTTTATTTGCAAATTACTTTGTATCGAGTGTGTTTGAGGGTCTGAATAAAAATGTGAAAGATTGGAAATAAATGATTAATAAAAAGATAATTAATTTTATTTTATATTCATTTATCTTTGAACTTAGTTGAGTAAATATTAAGTAGTTAAGCAATAAATTTTTTTTAAAATTATGCAAGAGTAAATAAATTCATTATTTATCGTTATATCATATGTTGTATATCATATAAAATACTAATCAGAATTTCTAGAATAAACTTTACACCCCCGCATTCAACAAGACATGAATGGAAAGATGAAATTGCCTTCCATTGCCCACTTTCATTCGTTAACCAATTTAATCCATTTAAATAATATGTTACAGCTAATAACCATATAATCTGTATTAAATACTAGCTTTATCGAGATTAAATCAGATTATTTTAAATTAGAGATCAATATTGAAAGAAGTCAATACCTAGGATCATATTTGAATCCAGGAATATTTTAGTAGATCAATAACTTACTCAAAATACTGAAAAAACTGGATCAGTTTTATGTATTATGAATTTATATATGTTATAAACACTTCATTTTATTATAATAATATAATTTTTTTTAAATAATTAGTGAGATACACATAACTTATTGATCCGAAAGAATTATAAAATATAATTAGAGTATTGATATGATTTTTTTAAATGACAATTTTATCTGATTTATTCATATATGAATTCTTATCAGACTGCTATTTTCATTGTGACTTTTTGAAAATGCGCCAAATTAAACATTAGTATGTATTTATTATTATACTAACAAGACAAACCAGTGTTTACAATGCATATATATTTACAAGATCTTTATTTAAATTTGTATCATACAGGGAAATAATTTTTTCTAAAATAAATTCTCTTGAATATTAAGTAGCTTTTTAAATCGTTAAATAATTTTCTACCATTATAATGAGCTCGTGACATTATTAAAATGTGATTTGTGATGTTGAACGTGGTATTAGTTTTATCACAATGGAAATTAAAGAGAAAGTTATTGATATATTAAATATTCAATTATATACCGGATAATGATTTTCAATTTTCATTCATTGATTTTGTAAGCTTCCTAGTTGCATGACTGAAAAAATGCATCGTAATGGTTAGTATTAAATATGATAAACAAGTGACAGCTTCAATTAGATTTGGAACAGCCCTACACAATTGAATCATTGCTTACCTTTAGAGGAGTGATTAGCATATATCATCTTATGACATTAAGCTGTTATTAATACCGTTATGAATGTAAAGAAAAATCGTTGGGCGGGTATATTTTTATATGATTGGTAATAAATAATTGAACGGTATAGGAAGCATAACATTCTGTAATCGATGTAAACTTTTAGCAGTAGTGGGAATTTAATTACTGTGTGGTGTAAACAGATCGATGATGAGAAGGCGCTAGTGGATAAGCTGTTTAGAAGTTTTTTATGTATTTAAATGATGTTTCAGCTGATTTTAATATTAGTGGAGTTTTATTTTTAGAGTTGGAATTATTTTTATCGTGAGAATCAGTAGTTTTTTGGATAAAAATAATATTTCATTAAATGAATATAACATTACTAAGATCAATATCAAATATTTTTTTATTTTTCTATGAATTTTTATTTATTAAGAAAACATTAGATTCCTTCCTTACAACATATTTAGAATATTTATTGTTAATAATATTTAATGATTTTTCTTTTTATACATTAACTTTTATTTATATCTCACTCTTTAATATTTATTATTACATGCAGTATCAATGAAAAATTACAATTTAATTCAATAATTAATTTATTGATCTGTTTTTTTATATAATAAATTAAATCTCCACTGATAAAAAAAAAAGAATTTAAAAATATTGATTAGTAAAGATTTATTCATTAAATGCACTTTTACCATAAATAGCTGTAAAGTATTTTTAGTTTTCTATCGATTGCAAAATATTATTTAAGACAAGTAAAATATTTATGCAAATTGAACAGATCAATTTGTAACAACCAAAAAAAAAAAATTTGTAAGCAATTTAATTTTGCAATCCTCGTAAATTTATTGTTTTTCCAATGGTGTAATAAATTTCTTCTATTTAATATATACAATTTAAGTTAGATGAATTACATAACTGAACTAAATGAATAAATAATTAGTATTTATCTATTAATCACCGAGATATTAAATTACTTATCAATGTCGACGTAAATGGATTAAAACCGACACGAAACAAGATTGTCAACGAAATCGAACGGTGTGACGTAATAGTCCTGCCACATTTAGTATCGTTAATTCATCGTCATGAAAAAAATCGAATTGATTTTAGCATTTACAGTTTGTATACAAAGAGAAGATTTAAATAGAAAAAACTCATTCTATCGCGTATATTGTTTTTTTTTGTTATTTTAATTATCAATTATTTTCACTTTTTAATGTCATATCAGCCTGGGGCGACATAAATCACAAATGAATAAATAAAAATAAAGTACAAACCCTACAACTCGAGGTTCTTCACCTTATTATGATAATTTATGCTAATAAAGAATGGAAGAAGGAGAAAAAGATGTAGAGGAATTTTTTAAAGACTTAAAATAGACATTTAATGGTTATCTTCTTACAGTTAATTTCTACTAAAATAATCCATGAATATTTGTCCTGACTCGTGCGCACGCGGCACGCCATTGCATTTTATGAATGAAACGAATGGTCTTGAGTGTGAATGAAACGAGCGTCAAGTCTTTTGGGCACGCATCGGTGAAAGTTTGTGATTAAACGTATAGTCATATTATACAGTTTGTGTTTGCGAGCATTCAACCATAAACATTTCTCTTTTCGCAAATATATTTTATGGCATTTACTTACAGCCACATAATCACCGCATAAATATACATATCAATTGGTGATCAGTATTTAAAGAAATGAAAAAAAAAGAACGATACCTTTCACTTATTATATATTTGTTAATTAATGATTAAGATTTGTAATAAACTAAAGAATCAAGGGTGCAGTATATATCAACATATAGGCAATAACCTCCCACTTGTTATGTGCTCACACTTCTCTCAACAAGTCAGTCAGTTTATGAATGAATGTGGGAATGAATGGCAATGGAAGTATCTGTGTACTTTAAACACCGGCACTATTTCGTACTCACGTCAAAAGCCCATAATAAAAACTAAATAAACAAGCGTATGACGTATTAAATGTAAACGTAGAGATAAAAGGGTCCTGAAGAGAGAAAAAGGGGTTGGCGGTGAATGCGTTCAACGATTGTGGTTATCGGGGTAGCGGTTGGTGACGGTCAAGGGCACTAGCGTCGTGACGTCACGCGGCGCTGCAATGACGCAACTCGGTCGCCAAGGGCAACCCGGCTGATAGCTGGTCGCATGGCAACCCCCACACAAACGCGTCTCTTCCATCACACACGTGTCGTTTCTCAATGAAATCAACCCCCTCACTTCTCCACTCCCCATCTTCCTCCCTTTACCCCTCATTGCGCGCAAGGGTATTGAATCTCAACAACCCTGCTCTTGATCTTTAAACAACAGCGCATGAATACAATACACGTCGATTTTGACCTGCCGGGGGTTGATCTTTCACGACCCTCTGATATTTCATGGTCGCGTGGGTGATTTTTCAAGGGCTTTTTTCCTTGATTTATAAACTCAAAATATTATCACTCCGGTAAATAGAGGAACTTGATATAAATAATGTATATATGTAGAGTTTGGTGGCATGTAGAAGAGGAATGTGGGTGGATAAACTTTCTCTTTCCCGCTTCAGAGAAATCTCATAAATACAAACGTTAGAAGGAATTAATTGGATTAAGCGGGATTTGTCGTGTATAAGAGACTTGGTAACAATTGGAATAATGCAATCAGACTCGTTGATCAATAGGAAATAATGAGAATGATGGGGTAAGTGGGAATAGGATAGCAGAAGTGTCAGAGACATTGATCGGTGTGGAGAGACAAAACAACGTAGGCTGGAATAGTATAATTATTATAAGGAATAAGGATATGTCAAAGGTAAAGACACCAAGGGGATAATATAACTGAAGAGTATTTCTCTCTCTTTAGTTTGACTAAATATGTTGAGGTGGTATATACCAATGTATCTGTTACCGCGAGCAAAACAGCAACAGGTTTAATCGCATTGGGGTGTGGCAGACTCGAGCTCTGGATGACTGGCCGCTCGACGTGGACTACTCGCGCCGGGTACATAAGATCGATGCGACAGGAAGGAATAAAAGTTGATACCTCGTGTCCAGCCTTTAGATTACCGGATAAAGGTGTCTTCAATCACCTCTGAGAGATTTACCAATCGTTGACATACTCTTTTTTCTTACATTTTACACTTTATTTATCCTTATGTATTATACTTACATGTACATGTATCCTTTTGTTTATCTCTTTTCGTCCAGCGTTTCGATAACACAGCATATATGTGCATGTCTCGCCAATCGATTACTTATATTTGTTCCCTTCAGCCAAACAATTTTTTTTCAACCAACGTCTCGCCAGAGAAGCGCCAATACGTTACTGTCAATTACGCTATCTCAGCCCGCAAGGCCGATCAGAATTTATCGATTTTACATCGGAAACTAGAATCAAATATCTACTTTTGTGTGTCTGTGTGTCTTGTACATATACATGCTCATATATTTGTGTATATTACACGTTTGGCTGTACGTGTCATATAAAAAATACGTATAGATTTTTTTCATTATTTTTTTTTTTTCAATCCCTATATGTATATGTCTCCAGAGAGGCAGCTTCGCAAAGCTGCGGTTTCTCGCGTGACGAATAAAATTTTATTTTTCTCCCGCGAGTTCTTGCACACGATACACGACGACGACGACGGTGAGGTAGAGTGAGAGAGAAAGAGGGAGGGAGAAGACACGAAGGAACCGTGGGTGGCGAGACTGAGCGAGACCACTTTGAAGGAGTGAGAAGTCGATAAAAGGAAAGAGGGAGGTGAGCAAAGGAGGAGAGGAAAGTTAAAAGAGAAGGTGGTGGTGATACGAGATGGTGGGAGAGGCTGTGTCGTGATACAGCACGAGTGCAAGTGAGATGGTATGACAAGGTGCGAGGTGCAGAGGAGACCTCATCTCGGTCCTGGGCCTATTTATAGACATGCTCTCACAGCCTCACTCCTGCCCACTTCTTGTACTGTCTCTCTTATAAGTACACCTATGAATACCATTATACATTGTTCAATACGAAGCCTAAAGTCATTCACAATCATGTCGAAATGATGATCATGACAATGTTACAAAGGTATCTTATTAATAATTAATTGTTGTCAATTATCAATGAGAAATCACTTTTGATAATTAATCGGTGATACGTGGCAACGTTGATTTACTTGCCAGGTATTCGCATTCTGTACTTACACGTTACATTCAAATATTCATACATATTTGAATCTCAACTTGACGCACTTTCTTCGACTCAAGAACGAGTTTCGTGGATGAAAGAAGAATAATAAAAGGTAAAAGACAGAAATACGATGGTGCAGCTATGCAAAGGCTCTCCTCTCTGGTATTATTGCTTCTTTTCTCTCATGAGGACGACGCATCCGAATGATGCGGCGCCAGTCGCGGGAGACAAAGTGAGATCGAATGAAATTAAATTCGATTCAATTGACGCCGAGTTGTAGGATAAGAAGAGAGCACAAGTTCTTTCAATGACTTGGAAAATAATTTAATTGAAGCCGAATTAACTGACCAACTGAATTAACAGCTATCGATTTTGTTCACAAGACATCTAGCATTAAATATTTAATCAAATCATTTAGATATACATTTATTTTTCATTCAATTGGAACTAATAAAATTTTATCAGGATAATAAATAATAAATATTAATTAAAGGTATTCATGATAATAAATAAAAACCATTTTTTTTTTTGTCAATCAATGTTAACGTGTATTTTTTTTGTTAATAGTTATTGTATAACGTAAACGTTCAATGTTCGATGAACGACGACTGGAAATACAGGTAGAATTTTATGTGCATTGCACTTGAAAAAAAAAAAAAAACAACATGTGTATACAATAACATTACAATTTATTTAATTTTAATTTATCTAAGCAATAAAGATAATAATAATTTTATAAAAAAGTATTCTCTGGTAAAGGGAAACAGTGAGAGGAAGAATATATGCAAATAGAGAACGAAACTAGCGATAGGGAATGAGTTAAACTTGATAATTTTTCATCTTCTCAATACACACGATTTTTGTGCAATATTAAAAATATATTGCACATAAAAATTTATTTTTCTTTATAATCTTTAATTATCATAATTCGTTAAATTTTTTCTAAATTAATTAATACTTCATTCCCACACGCCAAGAAACAGTTCCCTTTTTTTTTTTTTTAATAAAAATACTCATTCTATATCAACAATATATACACATATTATAATTTAAAATATATGTATGCATTTTTAGCAACGTGTGCTTAAGTGTGTGCATGCATGGGCGCTTAAAAACCCATGACTTGAGTACGAACAAACACGCGTTGTGTTAATAAATAGAGCAACATATACATATAATATTAATTTCTCGTTTTAATCATATGTATACACATTACACATATGTATAATAGTATATTATAATATTATAGACGAAACATGTGTGTGTGTGTGTGTGACACTAGTTAGTGGTGTGTCATGAACAACTATTATTAGATTTCGAAAAAATATGGACTTAATGAATGTTAGAATATTAGACAAAATTTGGCGCTTTTTACCGTGTTTGCAGCCAGTTACACATATACTATGTATACATATAATACGCTGCATATTTACATATTTACAACAAAATAATTTCATTTAATAACGATAAATCACCATCGATAATTTATAATTACATAGTCGTTATCATTATTTATATTTAAATTTTTTATAGAATTTTTTTATTTAATTGTTTATTTATATATAACTTATTTTAAACCTTCTTTTAATAATAATTATTAATTTATTCTTAAGTGTTCTTCTCTCACAATTTATGTCGAAGGGGTTTTCTGGCGGTTAACGAGTCATTAACTCGGCACAAAATCCTTGAGATTGGATTTCGGAGTTGCAACCGGGATTTAACGTGTCCGGGTCACGAGGAGCAATTCGATGAAGAATAGTGTAGCAAAGAGATCTTTTCAAGAGGAGAAAAGGCAACAGGCGATTGTATCATCACACAATTGAAAGACTTGGGTATCCAAAGAGGACATTCAAGTGTTGACATGACTTGGATAAATTTATAATTATTTTTTTTTACACAATCGACATCTACCCTCTTCTTCTCTCTATTTTATACATTTTTAAAGTTAAATTGACATGAACAGAGAAACTTGTCTATTGCATTAGGTAACAATATTACTCAGATCCTATTGACTATTATTTTTGGTAAGTATTGATTTGTAGATAAGTAAAAAAATAAATTTTTATCTTTATATTTATATATATATTATATTACTTACCAAAAGATAATTAAAATATCTAAATAAAAAAATTTGAAAATATAACAAAAATATATTTTTAGGTAAAAATTAAATTTCTCTAAGTTTAAAAAGATCATGGAATATATAATCTAAGTTCTGAGTAAAAAAAAAATCAATTTTTTTTGTTACCCAATGCTATGAAAGAATGTCTGGAATAATTGATAAATTTCTTCTTTACATCTAGTTCTCATTTCAAAATAGTTTTTATATGGACTTAAATAGAACTTATTGATTACAAGGTGAAGAAGCGTGTGTTTGAGGATGATTTCTTGAATTAGAATGACTTGCTTCACGCTTGAGCCTTTGTTTTAAGTGAACTTTAGCATGTCTCTTTTTCTCATCGCTCCTCGCGAACTTTCTTCCGCACTGGTCGCAACAAAACGGTTTCTCACCAGTGTGGGTGCGAACGTGGGTGGTGAGATGGTCGCTCCTGGAAAAGGAGCGCATGCAGATGCGACACTGAAATGGCTTCTGACCGGTGTGAATGCGAATGTGTCGAGTGAGTTCATCGCTACGAGAGAATCGACGATCACAGCCATCAACTGGACAAGCGTATGGTCTCTCATGAACCGGTGTTTTACTGGGTCTATTAGGATACTTTCGTGGCTTAACAGGAACCAGTCGAAGTGGTAATGCACTCTGTTGGTAGACCTGAGAGAGTATTTCGTGACCTTTCGAGGTACTTGGATTGTATTCAGCAAGTTGGACACCAGGAGTTCCTGCAGTTGATTGCTGTGGTTGCTGTTGTTGCGGCTGAGATTGTTGATGTTGAACTGCTGGATTATAGCCTGAATTGGTGACCGGTTCTTGCTTGAGCGTTGGCTCTTGATGATGATGGTGGGGGTGGTGATGAGACAGTAATCCAGGATCATAACTGTCTTCATGACTGGTTAGCCAAGTTGTTGGGGTGGATGATGGTGTGTCATGGTATCCAGGAGGGGGTGGAGGTTTTGATTCGACTTGGAGAAGTTCAACGGTCTCTCCACCGTAAGATGCCGAGTGGAGAGATGGGTGAAGGAATGGTTGACTTGTTAAAGTGAGAGTTGGAGAAGGAATTGAATTCCAAATTTCTTGGTTCGCTTGTTGTTGCTGTTGCTGTTGTTGTGCTTGCTGTTGCTGCTGCTGTTGTTGTTGTTGTTGTTGTGGCGTTTGAAGGGTATTAAGAGTGGCAGATTGAGTACAAGTAGTTGTGAAAACCCCTCGGTATGTTAATGTTGGAACGTTACAGATATTGACACTTGTAACAGGTGCCGATGAAACGGAAGACGATGAGTGAGGAGACGAATAGAGTATGACACCACCTTGAAGAACATTACAACGTTCAACTTCTTCCTGAGATTGGTGATGACGTTGAGGACTTGATGATGAGTGGGAGCCTGCTGCTGATGAATCAGGATTATCTTGGTGATGGTGGTGGTGATGGTGATGATGATGATCTCTACTAGTAGAGCCTACTGTTTCATCATCATCTACAGTCGCCTCTTCAAGCGATATTTCTTCACCCGCCAGACTACCTGTAATCAAAAAAAAAAAGATTTATTTCTATATCCTTATTAGTCAATCGTGTAGTTTATTATAACTCGTTAATATGTTGCCGAGATCGCTGACAGCTAGTAGATATTATATTTGATATTGCAAGCGTATGATGTTTAAGAAAAAGGAAGCAACGTACGATAATACCAATACTTTTATCTTTTATGCCTAACGCTTTTCTATCTACTTGCTCGTCTGTATCCTGCCGTCATTTCCTTCCTTTCCGGAAGTGAGTGTATAAAGTTAAAAAGAAATTAAACTTTCATGCGTGGTCATATATTTAACTTGATAAATATTTTCGACTAGAGATATAAGTTTTCTGATCAATAATGTATTTTTAAATCCCTGATAAATCAAACAATGGAAAGAGCATAAAATGCCGAGTAACCAGGAAAGCAGAAATGTAGAAACGGAAGTAGATTGTTATGTGAATGAAAGTTGGTTGAAAATTCAATAGTTATTCAAGAGCAGGGTAAAGAGCCAGACGAGAGGGTGAGATGTAACCTTGAAAACTTGAGTGGAGGGTGAAAGCCGAGGTTGGTATATCATCAGGGTCGTACGGAAGTATGAATGAACCCCGTAAAAGTGGGGAATTCGGAGAATCAGTAGGGGGAGGGAGATAAGAGCGAACGCGCAGAAGAGCACGGAATGTAGGTGTAAGGGGGTGCGACGAGAGAAGAACAAAATGAGCCTGAATGTCGGGGTCGCGAAGTATTGATCCATAGCCGGTGGTCGAGCTTTAATATTGGTCGTATTCGCTAGCTACCGTACTACGTCACAGACGCCTCGTGGCTACGTCAACCTTGACTTTGCCTCGGAAAAGTCATCCTTGCTAACTCTGGGGTTCAAAGTCAGGGAATATTGACGCTACAACTAGAATAACTCTTCCAACGCTTATATCCTGATTACGCGGATTTAATACCTGAGATCGGTGGCGGCTCTACTACAGCTGAAGGTCCAAAAAATGACGGTAGATCACTGCTAGTTGTCACTGGAGTATTAAGATCCCCTGGTTTGTCCTTCTCCGCAGCATCTCTTATCTCGTTTTGACAGTTTCCAGTACAAACATCTTCACTATCACCATTGAGTTGTTGATTTCTCTTGTCGGATGAATTGTCTGGAGAAACTGGAGTGTCGATACTGTGATGATGTTGCTGACTGTCTTGACTGTGATGATGGTGGTGATGATGATGACGGTGACGTTGAAGATGGTCTGGAGAATTAGAACTTGCGGGATGTAAAGGTGGACAGCTTGAAAGGGTAAGCAATGGCACAGCTTTACCACAGTTGATGGAGGTCACGGTTGGTGGCGAGGACGGCCCTCGTCCTGTGGTGATTCCGGAGGTCGAGGTTGCAGTATTGTACGCCAAACAAGCATCAAAACTTAGTTGAACGGTTTGAATGTTGTATGAGTGCGGATGGTGACCATGATGATGACCTGGTGGCGGTGAAGAAAGCAAGAATGGACTGGCTGCTGCATGATGCTGCGTGCCAACCACTTCAATTCCGTCCATCGTCATCCTCTGAAGTGATGTTGGATTTGCCGCGGTGGTAGATGCCGCGGTTGCTTCCTCAGGTCCGCACTGCGTCTCTTCGCCTGTGTTTGTATCGTTCAACTCAATTATTATAACAGATTTTATTTTTATTTATCTTGATTTAGATCTTTAGGAACCTTGTCTCTCTCTCTCTCTTTATCTATCACTCTCTCGTTCTTTCTTTCCCCCAGATTTTTTCAAAAAAATTTTTATTTATTCTTATAACTTAGTGTTTTTACTCTACAGTCTCAGTCCTCTCTCCAAATAGTCGCACACGTCACAGTCAGTAGTGGCAGTAGTAGAACCACACTAAACGCTCACAACTCTTGCATATGACCCGCGTTCCTATTTTCTGCGTATAGCCAAGAGGCATCAAAGAAAACAGTAAAAAAGTATCTGAGGACTCCACCTTTTATTTTGCTCTCACTTGTTTTCCTCACACTATAGCTCGATCAAACGATTCTCTCAAGTCGTATATCTTTGACCTATCGTCTCACTCTTAAACTTGAAATTAGAAACTAAATGTAATATTTGATAGTCAGCGGTGGATCTTAATTATTTTCTTCCGATCCACAGATTCCGATTTATTCTCCTCTCCTCACCCTTACATTTTAATGAGTGAGAGAGAGGAGATATTGCAAACGCAAACTGTTTTCACGCACACACGCATGTTATCCTCAAGTCTTTCTTTCACTTGGTGTATACGCCTCCTCGCGATTTTAGCGCGACGGTACACAACACACAGACACACACAAAAGTTGTAGAGAACGAGTAAGAAGGAATGATGAAAGAAACGAAGGGTGCGTGGGTTCTCTTCCTTGTTCGTAAGACTTGTGTGTGACTCGCGACGTGCCCTCTAGTTTGTTGTCTCTTTTCTGCAGCGATAGCAGAGGGATGTAAAGGACACGCGATGCGTGGGGGTCGCGCACGAACTGAGCTGAGTTGCGGCGCGCCCCGTAGTTTTATGAATGGACCACGGAGACTGTCCCATATTTGGAAGCGGCAAGCGACCGACAGCCAATCCCCGCTCTTTACTCCCCTGTCAGTGTACGCGCGCGTGTGTTGCCCCTCAAATGCTTTCCCCACACGAGCCACTAATTCCCCTCAATCGCCGGCATCGGGACGACGCTTTTGCCACCTCTCCATCTATCATTTCCCCACTCGACTGTACCTCCCTGAGTGGCCCCTCTTGCCCCGCGTTCTCCAGTGACGTCGAACCTGTGACGTAAACACTGGCGTGCGCTTAATCTCCCACACCAACTGAAGATTCGAGTATCTCGTGCACGAGCTATGAAAGCGGGAATTTCATAAGGGCTACGTGTTATGAAAATTTCATTTTTTATTCCACAGCTAATAAAGTCTCACAATATATGCACTAAATTAACTACAGATTTTTTTAAAGCCAATTTTCACCAACTCAATTGGATACTGACGAGATTATTTATGTTTCATTTTCAAGTTTTATGTTTAAATTAACCAGGAATACATATTGACAGTGTCTCATTTTATTTGAGTATTTTATTTGATGGTAAGTTGCTTGAAATTGATTTTATCATTTCCATAAATGCACCATTTATTTTTATGTCAATAATTACAGTTATATCAATTTAATTGTTAATTCGAAAGAAAACTATAAATAATAACAACATTTTCTAATACATTTTAAATAAAATGCTAATTAATGATCAATAAATAAACTTGCAAGTATTTTACTTGATATTAAAATATGCCAAATTAACTTGATAAAGTGCAACGTACCATCAATAGTTCATTTACCTAATTTGTTTATATAAATAAAAAATGTTATCCTACACAAAAAAAAGAAAAAAACTTGTGATAAATATTCCAACAATTTCGAGAGAGTATCTATCAAGTGAATAAGCAAAACTTGTTCCAGCATCTCTGCGGATGTATATCGTAATTAATATATATCCATTCATCTCGACTGTGTCATCGATTAAACACCCTCGCTACTAGACTCATACATCAACAAGTGTACATCTACAGATGTAAATACGACTCAAGAGTCAATTGAAAGCGGAAATGTAGAAGATTGTGATTAACACTATTAAGCACCAACTGTCAAATAAATTCGATGAAATGTCAAGGTGGTCTATTATCCCTGTCTGTTAGGATGAAAAGACCCCCTATAGTGTTTGATTGTTTGACGCAACCACCTGACGCCCTATTTGGACTCGACATAGTTATACATGAAAGCGCGTTCGTGGCACGCGCGGGCTTCCCCTCTCCATTTAAAACAATCTTGTGTGCGCCCAGCAACAGGCATCCGAATAAGCTGTATCTGTATTTCCTATTCTATTCCTACATGCTCGACTCCACGCTCAACTTGTTTTAATATAAAATCTCCGGATCTCTCTGATGAACACACTCTCTTGTAGCAGTTGTTCAGCTTCGATCTAATGCTATGCCACAACAAATCTATTATTATCTTGGACCATCGAGGCAACGGTGGGCGCGTACTATTCGTGGACGCACTCACAGCGGGTTTGCGCGGGCGAACCAAACTATTTTCAGCCGCCACGCAACCACCTGAGCCAACCATCCCCAAATATCAAGATGACTCGTGGTATTGCTTGTATAGCACACACGTTGAATCAGCCGGTGACATTTATATTGAGATTTTTCTGATATAAACATCAATACTGCGCATTTTTATGCATTGGTTTGTCCATTGGAGATTTTATGATGCAAGAGAAAGCTTTATTGATTCAGGCAATTGGTCTAGACCATGAAACAATTTTTTTTATTGGTGCTAGAAGGTTATTTTGCTATTTTAAATTTATGTTTGATGAGAAAGTTTTGGTTTATTTGCTTCAATGATGTGGAAGATGATTATTTACTTTGATTTCATGATATTTCATCGAGTAATGCATAAATGAAAATTAATAGAAATTGTTTTGATGGTGTTTAAAAGAATATCTTGTACTTGACTCTGATGGTATTGGAATATATTTTTATTGATCTTCTTAAGAAAAAATTTTTATTCATTTTTACTTAGCTTAGGAATGTTTAGAACCTTTCAATAAATTTATTAAATTTTATTTTAAAAATTTATGCAACATAAATTTTTTTCACCTAACTGTATTTATCGTGAGCTATATTGTAAATCAATCTATTTAATAACATTTACTCCAAAAAATTTTTATTGTTAATAAGAAATGGACTAGTTATTTTATTGGAAGGATCCTTATTGAGGTAGAAAAAAAAAATAAAATTATTGTGTAATAAAATGAAATTTTTTTTTAAAATAAAATATCATTGATGTTTATTGTTTATAATGAATAGAAATGATGATCTTCATTGCGTGTGCATTTTAAAATTATGAACCATATATGGACTTTATCATTACTTTCATAAAAGTGACATTAATTTCAGTATTTTTTATACAAAATTTCAATAATCTCTTGGTTCATCTTTAGTGCCTCATAAATTTAGTTTTTAAATTTCCATTTATATGAGAAGTGTTGGAACAAAATCAAATATTTTCATTTTTTTTTTCTTCCAAAACTGTTTCTAAATATTTCTCCATTCCAATTAATTATTTTCTTCTATTGCATTTAAATCAATTTCACACGTACATTAGCTTATCAAAAACGAACCAACGATAATTTATCCAATAAAATACTGAATTCCTCAATAAATTTCTTATCTATTTTCGGAAGTAGAAACATCCGGGTTCGCTCAGACGATTCACATAAAATTATTCCTCATGAATTTACTACAAAAATCAATCAATTTTCATCAAAATAGACTCTTTGATTTCTGATTTGACTATTAATACTCAATTATTGATTATCAAAACCATAAATAACTTGCTCACTAATTCAAAAACTATAATTGAAGCTCTATTTTTCCATAAATTCATTGAGAAACCGGACTAAAAATAGAAAAAAAGTCATCATAAAATGGTATTTATTGTGAAATAAATTTTTCTGCGGTTAAAAATCTATATTTACATAACAATGAGGTGACACAAAATGAAGAAAAAATATTATGACTCTTCGATAATTAATCATTATTCAAAACGGCTGCCAAAAAAACCAAAAAATCAATAAAATAATCATCCATAATACCATCAAACTTGTGGGTGGTCTCGAAAAAATTCTCAACCTCACATTAAGATAAAACCTCACTCTTAAACATTTCCCTTTTATTTTTCAGACTTTCTTTTACATCGATGTTTATTCCAACAAAACAGATGCAAGACTAAAGGAAATACCTTGATAGGATGCTAGAGAGAAAAAGAATACCTTTTAGCTAAGAAGTTAGTGTAATAGAAAATAAATGAAGACGACTATGAGAATGTCTATCAATCAATCCAACGCCTGTTGACATGTTTAGTTGATTGAATCGATCGGTCGAGGTTTTTCTGCACTAGCGATCGTTATCCCTCGAGAGACGTGACATCGTCAGCTTCCGACTCACGACAATTTACTGCCACTAGAGTGATATATAAAAGGTGAATGTTTCATTTTATCATCTCTATCCTTCTCACAGAGTTTTATTCACTCAAGTGTTCTTTCTTTCTCTTTCTACTGGCTTTACTCGAGCGTCGAGTTCGCTTTTTGCCTTACGCTATCGATCGCGAATCCTTGGCGGCACGCGACCACCCGAGGCAACAGAGGAAAGCAAGTACACGTGCGAGAACACAGCGATCAGCACGCGTTCCTTCATCTTTTTCTCGTTTCACTTGTGCGATCGCATCCTCGGGGTATTATTTTTTTAATTCTACCCTCTCTACTTGATCGGTAATGAGGGCTTGGAGATTATAATTCATGGGAATCAAATCAAGTATTCCTTAGAGTATGATAAAAATTTTTTTAAAATATGTAATAAAGTTGATTTCCTTTTTTTATGACCTTCTTGCCGTCGCCTGCGGTTCCACACACAAGATAGACGATTGACTTTGATAAATAGCAAGAAAAATGATTGGTTAGTCTTAATGAAGCAGAATATAAACGATCGAATGCTTTGAAAACCATATATATAATCATAAATAAATTTTTATTGTGCCACCTACCATCAAATGATGGAAAACAAA